AATGTACAAGTCGGTCCTGCACTAACGGCGTACACATCAAATTGAATTATTTTGTACGGCTCAAAATAACAACCGCCGACTTTACGAACATGGATGGGGAAAGCTTGAAATGAGAAAAGCAAGCAAATAAATCAGTCAAAATATGAGGTAAAATGAGGTGCGAAATGTGCCTCTACCACCTGTTCCAGAAGTAAAAATCTATTTTGTTGTATTTTTTATAGGGATTTGGAAAATATATATAGTATACAAGTTGCTAATATGAAAGCTTGATCAAGGCTGAAAGAGTTACAAGTTATTTACAAGTTACAAGTTGTTTTTAGGGCAGAAAACTACACAGGCGCGGTAGCTGAGTGGTTAACACCCCCAGCAAGAAGGTCCTGGGTTTGAAACAGGTCAGAACAGGGTCTTTCTGAGTGGAATTTTTCATGTTCCACTTGTGTAGGCTTCCTCCGGGTACTCCGGTTTCCCCTACCACTAAAAACATGCTCACTAGGTTAAATCCTCCAGCTCCGGTAGTCCTGATCAAGCTGAGCATCAACATCTGGAGATGGGTTCCCGGGCGCTGTTACTAAGGCGACCACTGCTCCTGATGAAAGCCTTCGTGGCTTCAGGATGGGTCAAATGCAGAGAATTGAATTGCCCTACAGGGAAAGTGCACCTTTATCTTTAGAAGGCTATTCACCACATCACTAGTTTTTTAATATTTAAAATTTTGTAAAAGACATGTTATTGTCCATGTTGAATAAATAAATAAGAAAACCCCCCCCCACACACACACACATTCAACATACATGTTTATTATGTGTTTTCCCATAATATATCTGACGTTTTGAAACTCCTGTGGGGATTTTGCATGAAACCTTAGGAAAGCGGGCGGGACTTCACAGTATCCTAATGGACATTTTCTAATTCTGGGCTACAAGCTTCTGTACATTTCCCATTTTTAAACCACACAAAACCATATATTAATCAGTATCTTTAACATAATAGTTTAACAAGTACCCGTCTCTCGTCATAATGTCATAATTAATATTAGCTTGAGTTTTCAGTCTTTTGAATTTTTTCATATGGCAAATTAACATAATAGCATAACATATTATATTTACAGACTTCATGCACTGGTTGAACTTTATGAAATCTTGTATACTTTGTTGGGAAATAAACATATCCTAAACATAAGTTGGGCAGTTTGAAAGATTCAGTCTTTTACAGGATTTTTTTTGTTGAGAAAGCTTTTGTAGTGTCTGGCTGATATAATTGGCTTGAATACGTAATAATCAAACATTTCGCTGAATAATTTATTTCGTTTTTTAGTTCTAGTTGGAACTGGGGCAACAACTTGAATTAAAAATAGCACCAGTTTTTTATGTAAATTCTGACATATTCACAAGTCTGTACAAAAACTCGGTGCAAACTTCTTCAACCGATTCCCATCCATCCCCCTCCCCCTCTATAAAAAACCCACAACACTCCAACAATGTATGAATGAACCATCGAGGCATTCATTACAATTCAAATGTGCATTGTCTATGTGTAAGTCAGCCATCATGAATATCTCCAAGGAGCGCGTCTATTCCCTGGGCTCTTCTTTGAATGCTGCTTTTTAAGAAGAAAAACATGTTGTAAAGGTCAGCGTGGATCTATCGTCTCCCACTCAAGACTAAAGCAACTCCAAACAACTGCCACATGAGCTCACCCTCCATCAGATATTCATTAAAACTTCTTTGTCTACTAAACCGCGGCTCTTTGATGCGGCTGGATAAGTAGCGCATCTCGTGCATTTGCAGGCAGGCCGGAGAGGCGCGTTTCGGCAGCGCTGATGAAGTCATAGCGCGCTCTCTCTCTCTCGCTCTCTCTCGGGACGTACGGCGGATGTTCGTGCGCATTGAATAATTGAATGAGACAACCTTGGAGCATTTCATATCAGCAAGTCACATCATCAATCACTGCCATTATCTCCTGTCTCATCCCCGGGCCGACCACGACTGCTCGGCTGCCTTAAAACACTAAAGTCATTACGCTCGCGGCCCCGGATGCTTTTAGCGGCTCTGAAAGGTGATAGTAATTCTCCATGATCTGCTCCGAGTGTGTGTACTTTTGGGGTTGTAAAAGACGTTGTATTTAAATGAGTTGTGTGTGTGTGTGTGTGTGTTTGAAGTCTGCGTATCGTGTTGAATCAAAAGTATATGAGAGCTTTGAGTGCCTCTATTTCTGCATAAGTGATCCCGGAATGTGTTCGGCAGGCGCTGTATCTGGGTTTCATCTAGTGCCTGGATGTGAATATTGCTTTTATGATGGCGGTCCATGTTTTTGATTTCTCCTGACAGGTGGAGTGAGTGATGAAAAGTGAGCTCAGTATTGTTTCACAAGTTGTCGGTTTCACTAAATTAGCAGATCAAAACATGGATCCGTAGTGGTGAGCTTCTATCAACATTTTGTGGAGCCCCATGGAGAAGGAATTATTACTGTCTACTTGTTTAAGGAAGTAAGGTCAAGGAGTATTGTTTGTGCTTTGCTAAAAGCGATGAATAGTAAGTCAAACATTTCTCAAATTTGGACAAATGTATTTACAGTACTTAATACAAAATTTGCCAATGGAAGAAGCAAAGGAGTCTTGTTTTAAAAATATACAAGAAATGTGTCCCTTGGAATGAGAAAAAATAAACAGTAACAGTTGAAAAAAGACTAAATGGTTTTGTCCCATTGGTAAATGTTAGATAAGATAAAAATCACGTAATTCAAGCTTTTATGACTTCATACGTTATCATTTTTTCTGTGTACTCTAACAAGTGCACTCTGTTGTTGTGCCGTAGAGCAGGAGAGAGAAACATCTGACAGCTCTAACATCACAGAGTCCCACAGATTGTGAAGCTGTAGTGACAAACACCTCACACAGACAGGAGCAGTGTGTGAGGATGTTGGGGTTATTGGCTTTGAATTCAAGTCAACTTATTTTTGTATAGCCCTAAATCAAAACAGCAGTTGTCTAGGAGGACACAGGAATTGCAATAAAAACAAACACAAAGGAACCAATGTCCATAAATGTGAATAAATGTCCATCATTATCCATAAATGCCCCGGATCATCACCATTTTGTCCTGGGACCCTCCGACATCTGTAAGGAAACCAGGGTAAATGCCTTCACGCCACTTTAATACCTTATTAGTTTTTCACTGGTATTTCAATATGTTTTAATGTGAAGTAATCCAAAAGTAATGTACCCAACTGTCTTTCTTGAGGCATATGTATAGTTATATGTTTTAAAAATTCTTACCAAAGGCATTATTACCAATTACTTTCCCAACACTGAAGCTTTGGTTCCTGGTTTTCACATATTGAAAGGACAAGGAAGATATTTGTCTTCACATACATAAAGTATATCATTTAATTATTTGACATTTTAATGTAGTATTAGTACATTGATCCATTTAAAGTATTGCTTTGTACACTTTTTCTGTTGATTTACAAAAAAAATGTCAAACTGTTGAAGATGTGTCAAAAAGTTCTTCGACATGTTTGGTTATTGGCAGAAGATTTGAAAGAATTTGCTCAAGAAGAGGTGAATGTATTTTATATTTCAGAAGACCACTTTGTAAAGGTCAAATAGTAAGCCTTTCAAATATTTTTTGGACAGGCGACCAATCTGTTTTTGAAAATGAACCATTCAAATCAGAAAACATGTACATGTACATTGTTTTTGGATGACAACATTTAAGCCAGTACTTTGTAGAACACAAGTACATCCTTTGAAAGTTTTGCTGTGGGCACTTCCCTCCACACTGATGAGAGATAAACACAGACAGAGAACCCCAAATGCACTTATTTACCACAACAATAAAGTCTGGGAATACAGGTTTAATCCACCAGTGTGTGAGGGAGAATCACTGCTAACGTGCGCTCTGGGAACCCTAATATCCCAATACAAGTATTGTCTTGATTATATAAGGGCTGAGCTTTAAAGTTAAAATTTTAAAGCCATTATGTTGTGTCCAGAAAAGTGCGTTTCCATAAATATCTGTTATCACTGAAAATGTCACATGCTGATTCTTTCTTTCACACCTTTAACTGTAATATCCTAATTGGACTGTTACTCATCATAAAAATAGAGGAGTTTACTTTAACCAGAGACACGACAGTAAACTATTTCATTTTTTGCTAAATCTTGGAAATGTGAAAGGTTCTGAACCAATATCTGCCCATTACAGAGAACAAATTGAAAAACAATGGTGGCACATAACTATGTACTTTTATTAGTTTTCCTATGCATGCATTTTAGACCTTTGTCTCACTCAGCCAATCAGCTTTCAGTTTGTAAGAGATTCAATGTTTTTTAATGAGTTAAAAAAAACAGTATGTTGTGGTGTGATTTGTTCAATTTCAAGACTCTTGAGACAATCCAAATGTATAGTCTATGGAAAAGACTAAACAGTTAGGTATTCCAGCTACAGTTACTTAAGTGACTTTGATACTTTTACTTTCGCCAGAGTAGTTTTACTTAAACGCCTGAGACTAGTACTTTTACTACCTCTCAAATGCACATTGAGCTCAGTCTCCTGCATCTTCCCCCATATCTCCTGGCTTCTGGTATACATGACTTTTCTAACACATGAAATCTACAAACCTCAACTGCATTTTTCTGTCTGGTTGTTGATTAAAAGTAAAATATGCTGAAATATGATATCATGACTAAAACATTGTGTGTTTTAGATAGATAGATAGGTCCCATGTGTAGGTTAGAATCCACTTCTGTAATTCAACTTACAATGTGAAACTAATATATGACATATCTATATCAAGCCTTTATTTGTTATAATGTTGATAATTTTTTAATAGAGCTTGTAAAAAAACAGTAAATAAAACATCTCAGGACATTTGAGTATTTTGAAAAGACAAAATCATCCACATTATAACACACAAAGGCATGACATATGAAAAATATAGAAAAGTGTCCCCCTTTATGCCGTGCACTTATCCTCTTTGTGTTTTGATGTGTTGTGCAGACATCGACGAATGCAGCATTAACCGAGGAGGCTGTAAATACGGCTGCATAAACACGCTGGGCAGCTACGAGTGCACCTGTCCTCCTGGATTCAAACTGCACTGGAACAGAAAGGACTGCATTGGTATGTGGCTGCGCTGCCCTCTGCTGGCTGACTTGGGAACTGTTTTTCAGTGCGCTGTTATACGTCCTGCTGTGTAAATCTTTGTTTTACAGAGTTGGTCAAGTGTCCTCCAGGCCTCATAGCCCCTAAAGCCACGCTGACCTGCAGTAAAACGGGCAAGAAGGAGAGCTGCTCGCTGACGTGTGCCTCCAAAGCTCACTATCTTGCAGGTATAGGCCAATATAATGTTATTTCAAACTAAACTTGCATGCGTGTTTGAAAAGGTTTTCATCATTCAAACTTGTGGAATGATGATAACATTCCACAAGTTTGAGATGAATGAATGAATGAATGAACTTGTGGAATTGCAATCATTATTGTTTTACGATTATGCTGGTCCTGTATGAATTGTAAACTCCGAGGCATGATTATGATTTTCTATTATTATTTGTACTATTACCTATTTGTACGATCTATTTGCTCTCAGAATTGCGTTGACTTCTTCCTATGCAAATTATATCTTTAATCTTATACTATAACAATGACAAGCACAGGACCACACTTTTCACATTTTCTTCATTGTAATGTGATATATTGCTTTAAAAAGGCTTACTGTAGAATGGATCGGTTTACTGCAGAGAAATACCTTGATTCCTTATGTTCATTAGGTTCTTTCATTGTAGAAATGTAGTATCATTATTCAGTAGTAGGATTAGCAGTAGTAGTAATAGTAGTAGTAGTAGTAGTAGTAGGATTAGTAGTAGTAGTAGGAGTAGTATGATTATTATTATTAGTAGTAGTAGTAGGATTATTATTAGTAGTAGTAGCAGTTGTAGGATTAGTATTAGTAGTAGGATTAGTAGTAGTAGTAATAGTAGTAGTAGGAGTAGTATGATTATTATTAGTAGTAGTAGTAGTAGTAGTAGTAGGATTATTATTAGTAGTAGTATTAGTAGTAGGATTATTATTAGTAGTAGTAGCAGTTGTAGGATTAGTTGTAGTAGTAGTAGTAGGATGTGTAGTAGTAGTAGTAGTAGGATTAGTAGTAGTAGGAGTAGGAATAGTTGTAGTAGTAGTAGCAATTATTTTTCTTCTAAAACATTTGTGCTTAAGACAGAAAACAATATAAAGGGAGTTGGACAAAACTGACGCTTATTTGGTTCCAATCCCTCTCACTCATACAACAATAAACACAAACTCACACAGGCAAGACACAGACCAAAATACTCCCTGACCCTACACTGCTCTGGTGTCACTCGCTCTTCACATACTTATTAATACTTCTTATTGGGGAAACCTCTATGTGACCATTTGAATCAATTCTAAGATAATACAGTTTATGATGAAGTCCAACATGTCCCCTTCAAACACTTATTCTACTATTTACGTGACCACAACAAATGCACAAAAGTGGTGTTCTGAGAGCTTTCTAAACACACTTATTTATCAACTTTGATTGTGTTCAGAGTCTGACAACAGTTACTCTGTGAGCTGTGGAATCCCCATCCTCCGCGGGAAGAGCTCTCCGGCCAGACTCAACAGCAGCAGTCAGACCTGCATAGGTTTGTTCCAACGTCCTCACAAAACTACAGCGTGTGGAACTTAAAGCTGGGCTCCCTCACTTTTGCTGTTTAATACGTAATACATGTGCGTTTGTCCCAACAGAAAGGTTCTTGTTGAAGTCTAGTCTGGATATACAGTATATATATGTACAATTTTCGTTATTGGTGATATGATTTTCTCAATAAGGGATGAAACTTATTTTGTATCAACTGTAACAACTTGGTAAAGGGCACATTTTAAGCCGATACATTTTTTTGGTATGATTTAGAGCCAATAACTAGTTTTTTTAGGTTAAGTAACCCAACCTTTGTGAACCGTCGCACACCAAAGAAAACGTAAACAAAAATCCAACTCTTGCACCTTTTTTTAACAGTGAAAAGTATTTTTCTTCAAAGTGTATTGAATGATCAAACAAATATGCACACAAAAAATATTAATATCCTCAACAACAATGAGGTTTATTTTGACAAATTACGTTTTATTGGATCAGTTGTTCCTTGCTGATGTCGAGGGACAAAGGACAGTGAGGATCCGAGACATTTATGGACATTTTTTAACATTTCTGAACATTTGTTTTTCCTAATCCCTATGCACCAATGGTTCCTATGTGTTTGTTATTACTATATTTCCAGTGTTCGAACTGTTTGATTTTCTGTGCAGTAAGCGATTGTGTTAGCTTAGCCGTAGCACCAACTCGAAACCACTCCCCCCTCCCCTCGCCTCTCCACCAAACCCAACATCCAGCATTTTCTTTTCTTCGTTACAACAGGGAGAGTGGGTGGCAAATGTGAAATTGGCATTTTCTGTTCAGCCATTTTAGGTTTTAGAAAATCCGATAACTCCATGGATAACTCAGGTGTGCGCACTCGCGAGAAACAGGAAGAGGGTGAAGGGTAAACGCATCCCATTGGTTTGTTGGGGATGAACGACTCCCATTGGTTTATTTTTATCGGTCCGCTCCAAAATAATTTGTATTGATTTTTGGAGACTATATTCATCTGGTCAAGTATTTGAAAACACATGATAACTTGACTACTTTTAGGGTTTAGGGATGTTTTCCCACAATATTTAAGAAAATGCGCCTGGAAAAAAATCACTGACTGCATCTTTAAGTCCTTCAAGACGACTGCTGTTGAGATTTGGGGCTACACAAAAGTAAATTGATTTGAATTTCCAAAGACACAACAAACTATACGTCAAGACACACACACGTACCTTGGAACGCTGAGGTATTGAGGTAAGCCAGGTTTAACCACACTAGAAACAGAACGTCTTTTCTTTCTATGTTTTCGTCTCCGACATTAAAACATTGCATTCATTATAAAGGAAACTTGCTTACAGATGAATTTTATAATTACTGGGAATTAGACAATACACATTTTTCTTAGAGATATGACTTGAAATGAAATCAGAATAAGACGCAAAGTTGACTAAATGTGTAAAATATTATGATTGTATATTACTGTACACCTGTATTTGCCAGAGTTCTTACCCTTTCTCTATTGCTTTGAACTGTAATCTCACATGCATTATTCAAGAAGTGGTAGAAAAGCCTTTCACGTGTGTATTTGTCTGTGTTTGTCTGTAGAGACTCTGGCGCCTCCAGTGAAGCAAACGGCGTCTTTCAAGATTAAAAATGCCAAGTGCCACCTGCACCCCAAACTGACGGGGCGGACGGAGGACCGGGGGCGGACGCTAGGACCAGGTCTGATACAAAAACAACTAGCATCACTGTCCCAATACACTGCAAACACTACATACAGGACTTACATTAGTAGCATATATGATTTCTGTAGAGGAGATTATTCAAGAAAATATCCTGCGACTGTCGTTGTGAATTTGATTCAGATAATTATAATTTGAAGAAGAGATATGATGCATGTATTTTCTTAAAAGTAATTTATTCTGTAGAAAATATATGGATACATGTGTATAAAAGATAAGAAAGGATCTCAGCATGTAATTCCATATGTCCACCACCAGGGGGAGATGTCAGGGGGATCTATTTTTGATGTGGGAGAATGAAACAACAGGGTTAGAATCCCCCAAAATAGAAATAAAACATTTGCGTAATATTTTACCTTTAATTTTGAAAGAAAGTTTATTTGCAGTCATTTTAGCATTTTAAACCAGATTCTATAACTGTGTAATTGTACTTTTTATATTTATACTTATGGTTCACTACATCATGGTGCGTCTATATATGTGTGTGGGTGAGTCCTAGTTTTAATGAGAGATTAAATCAGATCAGACCTCACATATTTTCTGATGCTTTTGGCTTGTGTTGCCATGGAGATGTTATTGCTTTGCTTAGAATGTGCCTCAGGACGCTCTCACAATATTTAACTTCAGGAATCTATTACAGTGAGCGGACTCTGACCTGTAACTCAGTGATGCCAATGTAGATGGAAAAGTGTAAAACCAAACTTTTCCTCTAAACTGGAGCAAGTGACAAGTACAGCTCATATCTGTGGAGAGGCGAGCCGTCCTAATGTACTTTTAGTATTTCACCGTTTGCTGTTAAATCTATATATGTTTGATGTCATTGATGTGTGAGCGTCTGAGCCCAAGTCATTTCCCCCGAGGGCGAATTAAGTCCTGCGTAATAAATGATCTTTTGAGCTTTAAAAACATCTGTAATGCAGTTTATTTGCATTTACAGATCTTCAACACGTTTTGTTATTGGGTTTATAATTGCAAAGGTTTGCTCAAGAAGGTGATACTGTATTTTAATCAATAATATACTTGGCTTTTGAAAAAAAATAAGAGAAAAGTCTAAATATCTGCATCTTTGTGGAATCGTGCTATAAGATTAAATATTATTCACCTCTGTTAAACTATTTTTTTGTGTACTATACTGTTCTAACCTAAGCAATATTATCTCCATGGCAACAAGCAGGCAGCGGAACCCATCAGAATTGTGCCGTTCAATTTGTTTTGGTTTTGCTCCAAATTAGTCCTAATTTTTCAACCCTGCACAAACACAGCTTCACAGTAGAAAATAACAGACACACAGATACAGATGGAACTCCATTTCTGCAACTTCAACCTATAACGTGAAACCGATATACGATAAAGACTTATCACATGTACAGAGCCTTTGTTTGTTATCATGTGGATGATTCTCATTTTCTGACGTGTTTTGTTTGGGGTTATTTTACAGGCTGTGAGTTAATGATCAATGCGATGAAGTGATATATCTGACTGTGCGTGTGATGAGTGTCATAGGGATCCTCTTCCTCAATGTGAACCTCCCGAGGTTTCTCACTTTATTCCCACTGGGTTTTTTTAGTTGTTCCTTGCCCATGCAGGAGATCTAAGGACAGTGGTGATGATCCACGACATTTATGGACATTTATTAACATTTATGGACATTGCTCATCTGCCTTTTTTCGACAAATGGCTCCATGTTTTTTTTATTACTTTTCCTGTTTGCTCTGATCTGTGTTGGCGAATCGACAACTTTGTTAAGTCCTTCGTGATAACTACTGATGCAATTTGGGGGTAATATAAAAAGGAATTGAATAGCATAGAATGTGTTAGTTTCAAATTGTAAGTAGAATAACAGAAGTAAATAGATTTTTGACTTTTGATAATAATACATATACAGCGTATATCATAAGTATATCGTACTTATATAGGGCTTTTTTGGACACTCAAAGACTTGATGGACTTGCCAGGGCTACATGAAGCCATCACTTATGTACTTCCAAACCCCCCTCTCACCCATTCAACAATAAACAAGACAATTTGGATCAAAGCCCTCAACAACAAAAAACGACACAAAAATCAGTAACACGCTTTGATGCTCTTGTGTGAGTTGTGTGAGTTGGAATGCAGCCTGACTGACCCCCTCAATGATTCCACTATATTCACATCCACACCACGGAATCCATAGAAACACAGTCACTTTTCCCTGCCCGCAGCTGAGTTTAAACTTCAACCTGTTTGGAATACTAAAACCCCTGCCTGTAACCCAGCCTCTGCATCTTTAATGACCCCGCCCGTGTGTGTGTCCGCAGGAGGAGGCCAGCCCTGTAGTAACTGCCTGGTCACATTTGTCAACCTCAAATGTGACTCCACCAAGAAGTCCAAAGGCCGGCGGGCTCGAAACTCTCCCAACAAAGAAGTGACGCGCATCACTCTGGAGCTGGAGGCCGAGGTCAAAGCTGGAGACACCACGGGTCAGTGTTCGGGAAAGTCAATATGTGTGCTCTGGTGTAGGGTGGTCATGGTCAAGTTTCAAGGCTGTGTTGAGTCCATGTTTTTCATTTTTTCATGTATGTATATTTTTTGGTGAAATACAAGCGATGCAAACCAGTATTCAGGAAAGTAAAATACAGAATACTGGTGGAATGAAGTGAAGGAGGACCTAAAAAGCAGGAATGCAAAAATAATCAGAATCAAAATCATTTTTATTGCCACGTAATTAACAGGAGGTCACAGACTTGGAAATTGCTTTGGCTTGATTTAATGATAATAAATTGAAAAGTCCAGGGAAAAAACAAATCAAAAACCAAAATGATCTAAGACGCCAAGCAAACAGGGGAACAGGACAGGAAGAAAAAAAAGAAAAAACTGAAACATCAGAGAACAGAGAAGTAGAAAATAACACAAAATCCACCCCATGACATTGGGTTGAAAAGGGATTGGATGGAACTAAAAGGCTTTTTCTGTTCCAATCCCCTGTTTGCAATTCAGACACACTACAAACACTATAATAACCTGTGTGGATGCAACAGTTACAGTTTTTCTCACATCATTCTTCACATTTGCACAACTGTTGGTGCATTTCTCAGAACCAATAGTGCAAACTGCAGAACCTTGTGGATAACCTGGAAAAAGTGAATCAGCTTCTCAAAATGAAAAGTTCTTTCCTCAAAAGCAAGTCTTCAGGTCAATGAAACTGTCTGTGTCTCAGAATAATAAGTCCTGACAACATTGAGTATGAACAACACAGTCACATGACTTAGTCACGTTTTCATTGTGACACTTTACTCTCTCTGTGTTTTCAATGTAAAAAAGTCAGATCTCGGTGACACTTGAGCACGACTATGATCACACTATACACAACCTGTACAGCCATTTACAGTAAAAACTACAGTAAAGTTACACAAAGACTGTATTCAGAGAGGTAACTGACATGTGTGTGTATCTATGTATGTATGTACGTATATGTACTGTTTGTATGTCTGTGTACTGTATGTATGTATTTATGTCTGTGTACTGTATGTATGTATGTGTGTATGTACTGTATGTATGTATTTATGTCTGTGTACTGTATGTATGTATGTGTGTATGTACTGTATGTATGTATGTATGTATGTGTACTGTATGTATGTATGTGTGTATGTGTACTGTATGTATGTATGTACTGTATGTATGTATGTGTGTATGTATGTCTGTGTACTGTATGTGTGTATGTATGTGTGTATGTATGTCTGTGTACTGTATGTATGTATGTATGTATGTATGTATGTATGTATGTATGTGTGTATGGGTACTGTATGTATGTATGTACTGTATGTATGTACTGTATGTATGTATGTATGTATGTATGTGTGTATGTATGTCTGTGTACTGTATGTGTGTATGTATGTGTGTATGTACTGTGTGTATGTATGTCTGTGTACTGTATGTATGTATGTATGTATGTATGTATGTGTATGTATGTATGTATGTGTATGTATGTACTGTGTGTATGTATGTCTGTGTACTGTATGTAGTATGTATGTATGTTGTGTATGTATGTATGTGTGTATGTATGTGTGTATGTATGTATGTGTACTGTATGTATGTATGTATGTATGTATGTATGTATGTATGTATGTATGTGTTGTACTGTGTGTATGTATGTATGTCTGTGTATGTATGTATGTATGTATGTATGTATGTATGTATGTATGTATGTATGTATGTATGTATGTATTGTATGTATGTATGTATGTGTGTATGTACTGTATGTATGTATGTGTGTATGTACTGTATGTATGTATGTATGTGTGTATGTACTGTATGTATGTATGTATGTGTGTATGTACTGTATGTGTGTATGTACTGTATGTATGTACTGTATGTATGCATGTCTTTCACATATTTACTGCATTTGCTCTATGCTCTACATCATTGTGCAACAAAAATACAGTCACATACATGTACAGTATATACATAGAACAAACATACAGAATATCATTATGGTAGAACTGTGACAAATGTAAACAATAAAATACTCACTTCCTCATGAGTGAAGCTGAAATTCACCTGAGAGAAATTTAGGAAAGATTTACAGGAAAAAAAAGATGAAGGAATGTATGAAATTAGCTTGACAAATACTAGTTCATAACTAGTTCAACAATTTTGTTTGTGATGACCAAAGCGATGAAATGAGGACAGTTAGTTTTATAGTGAATGACTATTTAGAAGTGATAAGTATGTTTCATTTTGACTGACACGACAGAAGCAAATGATAATGTTAAAAAACAGCAGAGAGTTGTATGAAAGTAACTGATACATGAACAAAAGCATTTGTAAAGTGCCATGATGATGTGCACCAATGACTCAATGTTGTGGAGGTTCAACTAGACTAAGTTTAAGCCTGATGTGAAAAATGCATCAAAGCAATTTAGAAAAACTGTAACTTAACAAAATGAAATAATGCTTTTTATTTGACCTTTAAAAAGGATGAGACTATTTATGTTGTTTTCAGATTATAGAATATGAAATAATAGGTTGAAAATAAATAGTGAAACAAGTATCAAGGGTAAGCAATGCCCTCAACCTGCCCTATCCCTATGCTACCACCAGAGGGAGAGGTAATATTTGTGTTTTACCTGTTTGAATATTACCGGCTGCAAACACGGCTATGCAATTGTTAAGAATGTCATTTCAGTTCATTTCAGACTAAACCTAATCCAATAGATGGGCAATATTTTTGTGTTAAAAGGGAGAAAACTGCAGTGTGATGTCATAGTGGTACAATGACATCATACTATTACAGGACAGAGACGGATGGGGCGGAGTTACATGTTTTTGCCAAAAGTTTCAGCCTGGATGGATAAAAAAACAAGTCCAGATCTGAACAATGTTGTTAAAAAATGAGGAAAAAGAAAGGGCCGCTCTCACTCAGCCAATCAGACCCGAAGCATTAAATAGCGGCTCTAAATATAACATTTTTTCTAACAAGATGAAAACAGCATAATGTCAGATTACTTATACACAACTTTTTCTGTTGGGACAAACAAACAAAACACACAAGGTTAGATGCCCCAGCTTTAATGTAGCCTCACTGTGGGATTGCTTTACAGAAATGTATAGGGAGCGCTGGCTGGATGTAAAAATGTGAGATCTGAGAAGCCAGCCAGGTGCTCTTTGGAGATTGTGGGTGAATTCCTTATTGCAAAAATATAACTCTGTCGACTTAAAACACCAACAGACAAACAAACTCCAAGGCAGTCTCATGGGTAAAGTTAAAAAGCCTCTCTTTAAACATGGCTTATATGATTCAAAAACACACTCACACATTCCGTCCACCTGCCTTGGAGTTTTTTGTTGTGTTTTCATGTATTGGTAGCGTGGTATTGCTTATGGTGAGGTTTTAGCAGGACGTTAATTGATTTTTTAATTCGTCCACTTGCTCTACACTTTTTTATTCAACAGAAAACTAAATTGAATGGCCACAGTTCTTATTTTCAGCCTAAATTTACTCCACTCATCAGGGGGTCAATAGATGTTTGTTCGATTTCATGATTTATACGCTTTGAGAAAGATCGTTCTGAAGGCTGACATTTATAAGTAAAAAAGAGACCAGGTGAATTGTGTCTCCATGGAGTCTTGTAGCTGGAACAGGGACTTGTAGACATGCAGTGACTCAAATGGGAATCATTCAGGATCAGGTGTTAAATACTTGGGGAGCTACCTGAAAGCGGGTGGCGAGCTACTTGTAGCTCCTGAGCCACAAGTTGGAGACCTCTGCTTCACTGGATGATCTAAAGAAAACCCAGCTTTGTTTTTGACATATTGCGCCACATAATGTTGCGCAATATGTGGCCCTTAAAATGTACTCTATACCACCATTACAGTTGCAAATGTTATTGAAAATATTCCCACCTCCACATGTGTTTTTCTGTGCCCGTGAACAGGGAGTTGTAACCTGAGTTGCCTCCGCCAGCGCATGGAGAAGCAGGTGAAAACGTACATCAAAGCTCTGAAGAAATCCATAAACCAGGAGCGCTTTCTGATCCGCGTGGCAGGACTGGAGTACGAGGTGGCCCAGAAACTGCCCCAGACTGCCCCCATCCACGAGCTGTGCGGGCCGGGCTGGGAGCGGGACAGCGGGCGATGTGGTAAGGGCACCGTCTCACACCTGCTCAAGAGGGCGACTGTTTAGTGGGGTCTCTTAGAATGTTGGAAAAGTAAAGGTTCTGATTATCTTCTCTTTCAAATTCTTTATGTTGTGCTTGTCGACTTGCTAACTGTGTGTTTGTGTGTTTCTTACCTGCCTGAGGACGATGGATGCAAGTTAGCTAATTCCAGCAAATTTATGTTGACGCTGTTTGCAGACACATTGATTCATATGTACTGTACTGTCCTAAATTCAAATAAATACATACAATAAAAATAAATAGAAATTAGGGCTGGGACTTGATAAAAAAAAATCTAATTAATTGGAGGCTTTGTGATTAATTAATTGCAATTTGTCACATTTTAATTGCATATAAATATTTGTCTTGAGAACAGTGAGATGTTTTTTTTTTTAGTTTACCATTGAATAATGACTGAATACATAAGCTTAAGCAACACATGTTCATTGAGGATGATAAGGGGATCAGACGGACTTCTTTCCATCAAATACCGTATCTGTCATTGCCTCCACACACTCTGTCCACAACATACGCTTTTTAAGCCCAAAACCCACTGCACTCGCAGTGAGCACTAGGGTTAGAATACGTTTTTGATGTGTGCATTTTAACTAAAACGTCAGCAATAGCAGCTCACACACCTGTGTCGCTGCTCCTCCTCCGCCTCCTCCTCCGCTCACAGGAGTCGCTTGCTGCTCCGCCTCCGCCTCCTCCTCCGCTCACAGGAGTCGCTTGCTGCTCCTCCTCCGCCTCCTCCTCCGCTCACAGGAGTCGCTTGCTGCTCCTCCTCCTCCTCGCACACACAGAGTCCGCTCCATACACAGCGCTCTTTCCCGTCTGTAACTCACTCAGATTTAGACACCATTAAAGTTGGTCTTATGTACTTTTGAACAAGAAAAGTCATGGAGCTCGAGTTGGTGCTCCAGTACAATAGGCCCGTCTGAAACTCCTCCAGTAAGGAACGTTCCGCGATGCAAAAAAACACATGCGATCTAAATGCGCCAATTTTTTTAGCACGCTAATTTTTGTGGCGTTAATTAATCTTAAGTAACCCTAACCCCCGGCCCTAACAAAAATACAAAGCTGAGGTTCCCAACCACATACAGTAATAGCCCCCTGCAGACTAGTGTTGAAAACTAGCACATGTGATTTAATTATAAATCTATTGAATTATTGAACTCATTATAAATTCCAGAAGCTAAGTTTACTTTATCAAGTTTAATATTAACAATTGTAGACAAATATTCTGTAAAGCTCTGTAAACACAGCCAAAAATATATACATACACTTACTTAAAATGAAAAAACAGGTAGTATTTATGAATAAGAAAAAAGTTAGGGACCCCAGCTTTGATGAAATTACTGGCTGCAAACACAGCTATGTGATGATAAAGAATGTAATTTCAGTTCATTTCAGACTAAACCTATACCAAATATGGGCGTTTTTTAGAAGTTTTTTTTAAGGGAGAAAATTGCATTGTGATGTCATAGTGGTACAATGACATAATGCTATTACAGGACAGAGACGGGAGCTTTTAGACTGCTTTTAGGGCTGGAGTTACACGTTTATATACATTTCAGCCTGGATGGATGAAAAACAGTTAGGGACCCCAGCTGTAAACGAAAATAAAAGGTAGCATTTATGACTAAGAAAAAAGTTAGGGACCCCAGCTTTAATAAAAATGAAACAAGTTAATTGTACATGATTATATCCTGCACAGACAAATCTTTTTAACTTTTAACATGTTTGCACACTCTTTTTGCACAATCTGAGTGACTCTATCTATTTCTCCAGTGTGAGATCAATAAAGTCTATCTTATGTTATCTGAATATAATGTGACGTATCTTGACAGTAGTTGTGATGTCACATTCTTCCTGCTCAGTCTAAAGTTGTGTTTGCTGTTCTCAGTCAGATGCTCCCCCGGCTCGTACTACCATGGGGAGCAGGAGCGCTGTGTGTCCTGTCCACCGGGGACCTTCCAGGAGCGGGAGGGGCAGCTGGCCTGTGACCTCTGCCCCGGCAGCGATGGGCACGGGCCAATGGGAGCCAAGAACATCTCGTCCTGTGCAGGTGTGTGGAGCTGTGTCCAGTGTGGGAGAGGGGTCTCATACTAGATCCTTAACCAGGGGGAGTAGGAATAGTTACAAATACTCAATATGAGAGGTGCCCACTGACTCATATTCTATTTGCCATTTGCAGTAAAACCACATTGGAATACATGTGCAAAAGTCTCCAGTCTGTGTCAGTACATAGCTCAAAGTAAAGTACTGAAACAATTTTTACTGTAAAAAATGAAGAACAATTAAACTGTGTGGTTCAGGCTGAAAACTTGAAAGAAGAAAAATCTTAGAGTTTGTGGTAAATTCTCATAATGTCTGCAGAAAGAAGACATGCCGAGTTCTTTTCAAATAGAAAAGGACTAAAGAGAACAGAAAAGCATTATTTTAATTTGGGGAAATGATTTCAGTTCATTTTGAATATTTGTCGATGTACATGTTACTTTTCTGCCAAAATATGATTATAGCGTTTATCTATATTTGAAAAAAAAAAATCATAGAATCTCTTACCAAAGAAAGAATAAATAACAATATTTCAGATTGATTTTCTTAAATGTGTGGTAATTAAGTATGAGGTAATCGTTTCAAAAGTTCTCATTTTTACTGGTGGTGGTTTTTATGTTATTCTGAATTATAACTATCTATAACTGAAAGATCAAGGCTGTGCTCACACTCAGAGAGCAGCCGCCCTCCTGTGGACTCACCACCTGCAGAGGGTCAGTGAGGGGCTGGTGCTATGAGACTTGGGTGGCATCTCTGACTGCCACCCCCCTGACCCAGAAATGGATTAAAGGGTAGAAAATGGATGGATGGATGAATTATAACAACATTGTCTATTTCAAGAACTTTTTCAATATTTTCTCATTCCAAGGGAGACATTTCTTGTGTATTTTTAAAACAAGATCCTGTTACTTGTCACATTAGTGAATCTCATTTTAAGGCAGTCAAAGCTCAAAGTAAGATACAATTTGCCAATTTCGCTGCGTATAATGCGAAATTGATCAAGTACACCAGTCACATCTCAATCTAAGAATTGGAAAGTCGCTCTCGTTGCCTTTCAGCTAAATAAACTAAACTAAACCATTTCACTTTTACACAAGTCCATCTACACATCTGTAATCAATATTTTCTGTTTAACTTGTGGATTGCATTCTGACCTTGCTGTTGGTGTTTTGTTCCAGGCCAGTGTCCCACAGGATACTTCTCCAGTGATGGATTTAAGCCGTGTCAGCCGTGTCCTCCCGGGTCGTACCAGCCGGATCTGGGCCGGACCCTGTGCTTCCCCTGCGGAGGAGGCCTCAGCACCAAGAGAGAAGGGGCCAGCTCCTTCCACGACTGCGAAGTCAAAGGTCTGTGCTTTTATTGGGACATGACTGTAACGTATAAATCTGAATGGACTTTTACGTGGAGATTACTGAACAGAGGCTGAAACTACTCTGCAATATCAGAATCAGAATTATTTTTATTACCAATGTGCGTAATAGGAAATCACATGCTAGGAAAATGCTTTGGCTTCTCGGTGCAAACAACTTCTTAAAGAGCGACTAAACACCTGTGCCCAACCTTACTCTGCCCACATGAAGATTTGAAAATGTTCTCTAAAAAGGGCGTTGCCTGGAGGACCAGGGGACAAGAAGGGGGTGGTTAGAGTTGGGCGTGGTCTGGGCTGTGATTGACAGCTCACCAGTCACACACAAAAAAACAGTTGTCATTGCTGCTTAAAGCAGTAGTTTACACACCAGAAAGTCTCATTCCACCCTTGTTTACACACTAAGATAATTGTGTGTAAACACAATTATCTTAGTCTGTAAGAACCTAATCCACACAATAATCTCAGAATTACTCATGTAATTTATTTTTAATCCACTAGATGTCGCCAGAATACTCCAACCTTGCAGCTGGGGAGCGTGTGAGAGTTGAATGGGTTTATATCACTGGCGCAGACAGACGCACGTCACACATACAAACTGACGTGAAAGAGAATTTCAGTCAATGAAGAATTTCAGTGTCAATGGAGAGGCCAGAACCAAATTCAAATGTAGTGCCAGCAAAAAAGGTAGAGAGGGCGCCACACAAACAGTCGCTCTTTAAAGGAGAAGTATGTAAAAATCGGGCCAAAAAGTGGTACTGCAACCTCTCCCACTCTCCCTGACTCAGGTTGCCAGATATGCAGACGAATCCAGCTGGGAACATAATATCTGAATAGACAAGAGTTTTTTCACATCTGTAACCAACACCTTTTTCACAAAGGGCTGATAGAAATCCTCTTTTTTGTTATTAACTATTTGACAATCATAACAAGACCTTTTTTTGTTCTGCGGCCACATGTTACTTTACCAGTGAGATTAGCTCGGCGCGGTAAGTTCTGGCAACCGGGATCATGGCCTTTCTGATTGGTAGAACGGTGGAGGGTTGGACATCGAAATGAAAACAATAACAAGATTTAGGGGCTGTAAAACTAATTTTGAAATCCAAATATCTCGGCTGAACGACTGTTATCAGTTGAAGAATTATTGTAAAAGTGCATGGTTTATTAATGCCTTTTGACAGATTAGGGCTGTTTAATGATGACTTTACATGAAAATCTTACATATTGCCACTTAAAAGAAAAAATAGAATACGGCATGCATAAAAATAAAATAAAAAATCTACGCAACATTTCATAAAATCCTACTATTTACAAGTGCACTAAGTACAGAACAACAACATGACAACAACAACAAGTTCAGAATTGATTGAATAAAGCAAAGTGTCTTGGTTTGAGTGTACTGTCTTTTTTAGCGCGACTAATATTGCATACGACGTAGCGTTTGTCAGATCTCTCGACAAGGTGGGTTAGTTTGCTTAGCCATGCTTGTTGTTTTGTGCTGTGGATGCACACTCTCGGTCCGTTCCCTGTAACGTTTCGAAGACCGCGCTTTCTGTATTTCAGTTCCGCTTTACTTGGCATATTTAAACAATCTCTATTTGGATGTTTGTGAATCCTTTTCGATTCTTCCACGACCCAAATCGTGATTAATCGATTAAAGAATCGTAAATCTCCCCCACCTCTGTCTATTACAGTCTATGCCCTTGAAACGAGCGAACACCACAACACACATTAGAAACCATATCCAGCTTTATGTCAGCAGATGTGTTAAGTTTAATGAAAGCGATGTACCATTCTCTCCTCTCTCACCGTTTATACAATATGCAAATACAACACCTTGGTGACGGTCTCATTATTTCTCAAGTCCAATGGCTTCTTGCTCCATAAAGCCTGCCTGCTGATTCAGTGACAGAGTGGTGGAGTGTCTGGAATCAGCTCAAGGTTATCCAGGGGAGATTTACATTCCCCTATCCGTCACCACTATTGCTTTTGTGTCTATCACGTTGTGTAATGTTGCCGTTTTGTAGTTTTACCCAGCCCTGAGTCATCCTGGTCTCATTACACCCCGACAAGTTCCAATGTGTCGCAGATTTAACCCTAATTCTGCATGAGTAATGTCTATGTAACCAAATGTAATCCTATATGGTAAAGGCGAACCCTGAAAATGCTCCCAGTTTGACAATAGCAAGTTTTTTTTTACAACATCACAACCTACACACGCCTATTTTTCAATGTTTCAAACTGTTAAATACCATAAATACACATTTGTGGATTTCCCGTGGATAGGTGACTGTGTACATTAGATTTGCACACAGAAAAGTTACGTTGTTTGCAATATAATAAATAAATAAAACGTCCTATACTAGCTTGATGTTTGTCTTCCAAGGTTTTTCTTCTACACAATCTGGTGTGAGAAAGAATATTTACTACATGATGAGATTCATGAGATGTTTATGGCTTTATATAATTTATTAGTATTCTGTAGTGTAGAAATGAAACAAACAAAAAACTATGAAAAAATGCCAATAAATGGTTGAATTAAAAAACAATCAGTCAAACCGTTCATAGATTGTCAACCGGTTTCATTGCATAGATTTTATGTATTGTGTATCCTACACAGGGCAACACAAAGCTCTTCGCAGTCCACATCACACAAGGCACAAATCATTACACAAAACAAACACCAAAAATGTAATTAAAACACACAATTAAAATCACAGAAGGGATAAAAAATAAAAAAATAACGACATTGTGTTAAAAATAGAGATAAAATCCGTCCGTTTTTATGCACGGGGAAAACAGAACCATATTTAACCTGGATTTGAGCAAACATACCAGCTAATATCCATCCACAGACGCAATCCCTATGTACTGTAACAGACACGAGTAGGCAAGGCAAGTTCAATTGTAGAGCACAGTTCACACACAAAGAAACTCAAAGTGCTTAACAAAACATGATATAAACGGTACACAGCATTAAAATCCTAAATAATCACACAGTAATACATAAAGCCTGTACAATAGATTACTTGCTGCATACATGTGATATTCAATCTTTAACTCAGATAGCACTGAACCATGTTGTTGAGGTATATTTCTGCCTCCCACTTATTAAAACCAGATTCAGCATTTGTATTCTTTTCCCCTGGATGTGTCTCATGAATCTCCCATCTTCATACCAATTGAGACAAACACTTGCTGCGACTACTGTGCGAGACTGTGGAAGCCTCGTTCCATTATCGGCTCTGAAAAAAAACATCCAATCTCTTGTTGTGTTTGTTGCAGTCCAGTGTTCCCCAGGCCATTATTACAACACGACGGTGCACAGGTGCATACGCTGCCCAGTGGGAACTTATCAGACCGAATTCAGACAGAACTACTGCATCACCTGCCCCGGGAACACCACCACCGACTTTGATGGGGCCACCAGCGTCTCCCAGTGCAAGAGTGGGTATTGTGTTATTCTTACTCACCTTCAGACGCCATTTGAATACTATTCCGTCTATTTATTTTCAGGTTAAATAAGTACAAATTGCTGAGAGATGCTCCTTTTCGCAGATGTATTATCCTTGCAGTCCATATAATACAGATCCATGGAGAGTTCTTCTTTGTCCACATGAGGAAAACATTTATTCAATTCAATTCAATGCAATGTATTTATGTATAGCCCTAAACCACAACAGCAGTCGTCTCGGAGGACGATACAAATTTGTCAATTCGCCCGAATCAGATAGAATCACGCAGTTCAAACACACAAAATGCAATCATAAGAGAAAACATAGGAGCCATTGGTGCATAGGGAGCGGGATGACCAACGTCCATAAATGTTAAGAAATGTCCTTAAATGTTCTTCAATTCAAAGTGAAAATATTTTTATGAATAGATTACTCAAAATGTAATTATTCAGCACCATGTTGTAAATTGTTGGAGAGCTATGTCTTTAATAGATCTTGCTTTGTCTTTTGCATTTGTAAAATGTTTAACCATCAAAAATATACAATAAAATAACCTGGTTTTCTAAAGGTTGCGTTCATGTGACATCACGAAAGAGCCTATTGTTTAAAATTGTGGTGAAGGGCAGCTGGAAAATCTGGTAACTATGGTAACTCTCAAAAAATCAGACATCTGTCTTAGTTTAGAGCTTGGCCAATCCACATGAAACAAAAGTTCAACATCTCTGTCAACACACGTCAACTGTGGTCTAACTATTATCTCATAAAGGTGTCTAGAAGTGGAGACAATAACCAAATAATTATACATAAGCTTGATGTTGGCCACTAGGAAGGACTTTCAGAATAATATGGCGGCTTTGTGAATCTTATCTCTAGCAAATAAAGATCAATTTTGATAATTTTCTTTCAAATATTGCTTCTTTCCATGCAGTTGTTTTGGGTCCTGTCCTCCAACCGAAATAGAATTCTACAACAAGAACGCAACCCGTAGTGAAATTTGTCAGTGTCATTCCCGACTCTAAAATATGCTCTTTCTTATCCTGACTATTGTATTGTTTTGTGTTTCCAGGCCTGTGGAAATAACTGTTTTGTATGTACAGGTTGTCTCCATACCAGCAGGAATCTCATTACTTTTGTTTGTGTACGTCTAGACAGGCAATGTGGCGGTGAGATGGGCGAGTTCATGGGTTACATTGAGTCACCAAACTATCCTGGGAATTACCCGGCCAACGTGGAGTGCACCTGGAATATTAACCCCCCGAGCAAACGCAAAATCCTCATCGTGGTTCCCGAGATCTTCCTGCCCTCCGAGGACGAGTGCGGCGACGTGCTGGTGATGAGGAAAAACTGTGAGTGAGGGCGCCCCCTGTGGGTCTGAGGGAGGGAGTGGTGGTACTTAGAGATACTGTAGAAAAGAAAAGAAAAAGTGTAAAAGTATGTTTGTGTTAAAGCTGGAGTACTTTTTGTTGTTGTTTCATGAATCATCCACGTTGTTTTTCTCAACCGAAAGAGTAAAAATAAAATGGCTGTGGCAAAACTGACCGCATGTCTTCTCAGTAGAAAACACCACAGCAAAATAACAATAAAATATGGGGTAATAAATGCTTGAATTGAGTTGTTTTTGTCTTAAATTGAGTACATTCAGACTGTGTACAAACAATTAATTTAGTCTTTAGCCATTTCAAGAACTGTTCTTGATCATTTTTCCTGTCCCGTTGGCAGCTTTTTTTCTAAGGCAGTCAAAATGTGCTAAAATTAAGATATATCTTGCCAAATTTGAGTTGTTTTTTTTTTTTTTTGCAGTGATGTCATCATTTGCATACTAAGTCACTACTTGAATCTTTGGGCTTGGAGCAGATTGCCTTTCGTTTTTCCTTGTCTGAAAAGGCTGATCTAGACCATAGACTGTAAATATTAACTCCGCTGTTGAAACTAATGTGCCATTCCTTTTGCCTACTGCAGACTTTTTTTTAAATGGCCGCGAGTGCCCCCTCGCGCAGGAAAATGTGAAAAAGCCGACACGAGCCCCAATCATTTAACGAGTGCCTTCAAAATCCAAACTTTTTTGACTATAACTGTAACTAGGTTTTATTAAACGGCAAATACTGCAACAATGCCCTGGAGATTATACAGATTTTGCTTAGAAGTAAGCATTGTACTGTCACCACATAAAAGAATTTCAAGAATAATCATGAAATAAGACTTTATAAATAATAATAATCAGTAAACCAGTCAGCATAGTCAATAAAAATAGCCAATAAAACAGTCATAATAATGCATTGTCAGATTAATGGAAAAAAAGCAGTAGATGCATATCTAGCATAGGATCACTCAGGTAAAAGAAAGAAAATGTGCAAACATGTTAAAAAGTGAAATGTCGGATGAAGGGCGGTGTCACCCGAAGCGTCACATTGTCTGGTGATAATTCAATTCTCTTTGGAGCGAAAGCTGTTCAGAGTCATCTCCTTTTTTTCACTAAACTATTCTCGACGTTTTTGCACGCTACTCAGACTTGGATGTGTGCGTCAAACTCACTCTTGCTCTAAAAAGTTAAAGATTCCCTTTTGTACAAGATATATTATGTACAACAATCTGCTCAGGCGACAGTGGCTCAGTTAGTAGAGCATTAGCCTTTGAGCCAGAGGGTCGTGGGTTCGAGCCCAACTTTCACCATCGACTCCCACTGTCTGCTGCCGTTGTGTCCTTGGCAAGACACTTAACCTCTGGGAACACCAGCCACAATGGGGCGGCTGCGACTGTAAAGTGCCAAACTGCCGTTGTGTCCTTAGGCAAGACACTTCACCCCCATTGCCTAGAAGAGTCTAGCCTAGAGTCTGGTGAGTGAGTGAATGGTTGGTGGTGGTCGGAGGGGCCGATGGCACATACTGGTTGCCTCGCTTCTGTCAGTGTGCCCCAGGGCAGCTGTGGCTACAGTAGTAGTTCATCACCACCGTGTATGAAGTGAAAGAATAATGACACATGTGAAGCGTCTTTGAGTGTCCAAAAAAGCGCTATATAAAACCATGCAATGCATTATTATAAAATGTAAATTATATGTGCATATGACGCAGTACAAACAAGGAAAACACTGTATTCCTGTTTTCTTCTCCTTCTTCTTTAAAAGTACGAGTAGAAATTATGTGTGAGCCTCTTGTGCGCAGAGGTTAGAACGTGGATCAATAAATAAAACCTTTATGCGGGTAAGGCCGGGCTTCACCTGCTTTGACCTCTAGCGCCCCCCAGGTAAATTGAGTTTGAAACCCCAGAGCAAGAGCTTCAGTTCTGAGTGATGGCTTAAAACTGAGAGGTACTAGATCACTTGTAGTTCACTCAGGATCAGGCAGGGATCAGGCAGAGCTATGCTGACTTTTACTTCTAATTTTTTCCCACAAAAACAGTGCAGATGTAACTAATGAAAGACCATGGGTGAAAGATTTATCATCTGAAGGGAAAATATAAAAGAAATAGTGTTGTATGGAAGTACAGTGTGCAAGAGTCTTTTTGTTTTCAAAGTGTGTGTGTGGGGCCTGTTGTTACGCACCTGTCACAGAGTCGGATGTGCAACTTTTTACCCCCTTAAAAACCAACGGGAAATAGTGAAATAGTCTGTGTTAAAACAAATTGATAATATCAGAGGCTACATAAAATTATAAAATTATAATAATAATCATTAATAATCATATTAATCCTCTAGAATGCAACTGTTCAACTCGCCAACACAAATGCTTAAAAAAGATGTGATAGAGGTTAGTATGGAGACCTATGTTGTGCGTTTATTTTTTTCCGTTTATTTTTTTCATTTTGACCTTTAATTTGAGCCTCCTCAAAAACTCTTCTGGTGTCTCATTGCACAGACTAATCATTGCAAATTGGTGTGAAATGTTCGCAGTTTTAACACTAGAACTCCCAGAGCAGTCAATTTGACGGCTTTTCATTTGGAAGTGTAATTATTTAGCTCATTTACATTTGTACATTTGTATTTGGTAACTTTTTTCTGTTCCCAGGCCACCAGTTAAAACCCCTTATCTCCCCTTGCAACAAACTATTGTGATGTATTGCAGGTTATATAAACCAGGTTTAGCACTAATCAAAGGTGAAAACTCAAATAGATTTGAATGAAACTCATATAAAACTAACACTTTTTGGGGGGAATAGACTGAGAGAGAGACAGAGAGAGAGACTGACACAGAGGCCCCTTGTGAGAGAGACAGAGACACATAGACTAAGAGAGAGACCCCTTGTGAGAGAGACAGAGAGCGACAGAGTGATACAGAGACTACGAGAGAGAAACAGAGAGAGAGACTTAGACAGAGGCCCGTTGTGAGCGAGACAGACTGAGAGAGAAACTGAGACAGAGGCCTCTTGTGAGAGACAGAGATACAGGGACTGAGAGAGAGAGAGAGAGCGAGAGAGAAACTGAGACAGAGGACCCTTGTGAGAGAGACAAATAGACTGAGAGAGAGAGATATTTTAGAATTCCATTGATTTGGATGGGAACCCTATCACAATGACTGCTCTGGGACTTTTTGTAATTTCATAATTGTCATTTTTAATAATGTATAATGAGCATTAGTTTGGAACATATATAAATAAATAAATAACCAGTATAATAGCAGTCTGGAGGATACAGCTGTCAGTTCAAAAGCAGAGAGAGAGGAGTCATCTGCGTCTCCCGCGTCTCAGAAAGAGCACTTATATATGTTTTGTTTGTGCGTTCTAAGGGTCGGCCACTTCCATCACCACTTACGAGACGTGCCAGACGTACGAGCGGCCCATCGCCTTCACGGCGCGCTCCAGACGCCTGTGGATCAACTTCAAGTCCAACGAAGCCAACAGCGCCCGCGGCTTCCAGATCCCCTACGTCACCTACGATGGTACGGACGCGGCTGCTCAGTGCGCCATATATATAACCCTGACCCGACTCCAGGCCGCACGGAGATAACGTGGTGTTTGCGTTTCAGAGGATTACGAACAGCTCGTAGAGGACATCGTACGAGATGGAAGACTCTACGCTTCAGAAAACCATCAAGAAATACTGAAGGTGCCGAGGTTTTTCATTCAGAAGTAATGTGAGGATGCAGAGTGTGTTGGTGAGAGGGCTCAAGGGGCGGGAGTTCAATATAGTTCATTGTTCCATACCTGTGTGTAAAAGCCAGATCCAGTCAGACCTCTGAAGCTAAGCAGGGCAGGGCCTGGTTAGTATTATGATGGGAGACCCCTGAGAACAGAAGGTGCCACAGTGGGGCGGCTGTAAAGAGCCAAGCAGTTGCTGTGTCCTTAGGCAAGACACCTTTACCCACATTGCCCAGAATTAGTCTGGTGTGTGTGAATGATTGAAGGGGCTGATGGCACATACTGGTTGCATCGCTTCTGTAAGTCTGTTCCGGGGCAGCTGTGGCTACATAAGTTTATCACCACCGTGTATGGAGTGAAAGAATAATGAAGTGGCTTTGAGTGTCCAAAAAAAAATGCTGTATAAATAAAAATACCTACATCTGTAAACTAGTGATAGAACGATTCGATTTTTAGTTTTATAATATTAAATGGTTAGTGATTGGAAAGTCAGGTACCGCAGCTTTAACAATGCGTTATAACTTGCTGCAGTTACTGGAGTAGTCTCCTTCAGACGCATCCAAAGGTGTCTGTAATTAGCCTGTTTCTCCGACTCCAGCAGTAATTATGTATCTGTGCCTTCTCTCCACAGGATAAAAAACTTATTAAGACTCTTTTTGACGTGCTGGCTCACCCAAACAACTATTTTAAGTACACCACTCGGGAGTCCAACGAGATGCTCCCGCGCTCGTTCATCCGCCTCATCAGCAGCAAAGTCTCTGCGTTCCTGCGACCATACAAGTAAAGACGCCTCTCCCACGGAAAAGCAGCCACCCCGGCCTCATCTGCCCCCAACGCCCCAGTCTGCCCTCCCCCAGGACCCCTACAGGACTCGTCACTCTCACCGCACACACCACAGACAGACAGGAGTTCTCTTCAGCAGCAGACACTATGCAGAGCCCGGACGGAGCATTGGTTTTGTACGTTCTCTCTCGGGGCAGCTCTGCGAGGCGGGCTCAGGCGGTTTTTGGCGGATGTGGGTTGGGTTGGATGTTGTCTTGTGCAAAGAAAACCACAAAAATGGAAGGTGGTTTGATGTTCAGTAGGAGTGACTGTGTGTGCGATTTGCGGTTGATATTGTGCTTGTGTAAATGAGTCTCCAGCTCCTGCCCTTAAGTATGACTGTACGTGTTGTTTACGTGTTGTAACATTGGGGACATCGGTGTCTAAATGTGCTTTTCTCGATTGGAGGTTGAGTCCATGTAGCAGATGTGCTCCAGGTAAAAGCCTTACTAAACCACGGCTCTTAGAGCAGTGTCCAACAGTGTTGCTGTCAAACAGTCAATCACTATCCCTTTGTCCAGAGCCTTACATTACTGTGCAAAAGTGACTCCCATCACACGCCAATGAAAGAGTGTTAAAACAGGAGGGACTGTCAGAAATCACAGAATGAGGTGTCAGAAATGCATGCATAGGATTTCTGCTCAATTATTTTGAGGTCAGTTCAAGCTGGTAGAAACAAAGATAGGACAAATTCAAATTCATACTTGTAGCTGGCTCAATAATGTGATATTTTCCATCGCAATTCATGGTAGAGTGAAAGAAAAATCACTGGTTTTATCTATCGCTAATATTGAATGAATCCGTCCTATATCGCAGAGTTCAAACAGGGATTTCAGATGAGAACATAGAAGAAAGTGACGCAAATAAGTCACATCTTGATCGTCTTAAAACAAGATGTGCCAGTGGGACAAGCCAAAAAATTTGTTGTTTTAAAAGAGACATTCAAAATTCTGACTTGGAATGAGACAGCACTGCTACAGCAAATGCTACAGCACTTGAAATAATCCTGAACTGCTTGTCCCATTCAAGTCAAGACAAAAATAACATTTGATTCATACATGTATTACCTTCTTTTTGGAGTGAAATGGCCTTTTTTTCCCCAGGTCTAGTCACTTGTAGAAAGGGTTTGGGTTAACAGTTCTGTATTACAATAGTACAATGTAATCAAGGTACACTGGCTTTTGTCATTTGGGGGCCTGAATCAGAAAGCTTATAATCCTAATAACATAAAAAGTGTTGTAGTAGGACAGTACAGTATTGCACAGTATTGTAATGTAACTTTGCTTGCCTTGCTGAAAAAATATCAGCCATAGACAAAAGGCTGTATATTTATATCATCGCAACAATTGGGCAAATAGTTGTATTTTTTGAGAGCCACACAAACAATGTAATGTGATGTCTAGATGGGAATGTCTGAGAGGGACATTTAAGTTTGCTGCTTCTTATAAACGGTCACTTTATGCTCCAGTCCCATATCGTGTCATGTGCGTAAACAATAGCTCACGTTTTTTCTCATCTGTGTACTAACCGTCTGTGTGTTCTCAAGTCTGTAAATAAGATAGATGAGGGTATTTTCCCCTTGTCCTGTAATCCCCAGTATTTGTTTTCATTTCTGATTTTTTTTGACCCCTTCCTTGTCCAAAGACCACACTCACATTGTTCAATTCTATCCCAATGAAACCAGCTCTTCCAAAGACTGCCCCGCGGTGGTAGCTTATGTGTAGTGCACTTGGTTTTAGAAGCCTTCACTATGTTCACTACCTGTTGTAAAAAAAAAACAAAAAAACAAGTGCAATGGTGAAACTTGTCTCCCCCGGCGACAGTGAAGATTCTACAGACTGTTTTCATCTGGAAAGCAGCGACGTCCATCTGCGTCTAGTTACTGCAGGTCATGGAGCAGCTCTGGGTTCTGTGGCTTCGTTTCAGACGACGTCACAACGGAATCATTGAGATTGTCGTGGGAAGGATGACGCGATGAGACGGCACAGTATTAGGATACAGTTTATGTAAAGTTTGCATCAAAATAGATCGTTGAGGTATTTTATCGATTGTCCAAATGTGGGATTAGTTGAATCTACGAGTCACTGTCAAAGCGCTTAACAGAATAAAAATTTCATTGAACTAAACAAGTTTCACTACAGAGCCCTGGAAGTTCTCAAAAAACTATCTTGTTCCTATAGGATTATAATAATAAATATATAACTTTTTTCCAAATAAAATCTTGATAGAAACTAAAAAAATATGAATCCGTACAAAAAAGAAAGCTTGACTCTAAAATGATCTGCTTTTTATTTAAGAATTTTATGGGCTCTGTACAAAATAGGATGTAAAATCATTAAATCGAACAAATATATTGCCACAGAAAAGTCACATTTTTTCAAAACTGAAAATGACAATTCTATCAATTAAAACAGAGCTGTGTAACTTTGTCAGCAAAAGTATTTCTGTGGATATTTGACTTCTGTACTTGTATCACAAGTCATCATCCACCTGAACACTTTGACAAGCAAAAGGTTGTGACGTCTTCTCAAACCCTGCAATCGACCAGATATCTGTGGTTCCTCTGTCCTTTGCAAGAAATCCCTCAAATGAACAAAAAAAGTCCAAATGTATATTTTTTTTGTAATATAATTTTTGTCATTTTAAAAACGGGACCAAAACAGGGTAAAACTTAGGTATTTAAAGTCTTTGTTCCATTTCATTGAAGGTATTATGAGAAAATAAAAACTCCCATTTTTAATTGTATCGTTTGTCCTCAGCTGTGTAAATAAAGTTTGTGTGGTGCGGCACACGTGGTATTAAAAAAAAAGGGGATTTTCTGATGACGAGTTGCGGGTGATGGAGCCGTGTAACGAAGACCCCACACGTATGTACCCCGCCCCCTCCCCCGGCTCCTCCTCCTGCAACCACACGTCCTGTTGCCTTCAGAGAGTTTGCTATGATGTATCAAGAGTCGACGATGATATTTGCACTTGAATTGTTATTGCTCATGTAAAAAAAACAAAAAAATCTGGATTTTGTATTTGTCTTTAAAAAAAAGATAATAATTGAATGGAATTGGTGTTTTTTATTTTCTTGTAGCTTGTTTGTTCATAAAATGCTCACTCACCATGTAGTCTGAGATCCACATAACATTATCGACTGTAAAACAAAACTTTACTGTGTACAAAAGATAAATGCAACAGGTTTGTACTTGTTACTACTCAAGACACTTATGAAATAAACATACTGTACTTAAAGACCACGTTTTTACATTTGTGTCTGCAGAGCTTTAGAGGTTTAGAAGTGGGGCAAGCGGTCGGTCCATTTGCGGTTATCCTCTTCTGTAGCCGTTCCAAACTGAAAAAATATATATATTTAATTCAGTCCTTTTTAATGCAATTCATATGTTGTCAAGTTACAGACAGCAGCATGTGGGATGTCAGGGGTTTTCTAATCATCTATTAGCCAATTCAATGTGGAGACACTCAAGGACAATATTTTCAGGATTACATTTATTGATACTGTAAAGAATGTGGTCAGGATTTTGAAGAAGAGATCTTGTAAAGAAATCCCCTGGGGCCTAGACCCTGGTGGTGGTAGTTTAGGAGAAGGATGGAAGAGTTGGCCTGGAATGAGGAGATGGGGAGGAGGAGGGTTGCAGCGTGAATGAAGCTGCTGCTTGGGTGGACTTGTGATATGAAGCTGATGCGGGCAGAGCCTGATTGCTGCAGGTGAGGACTTATGTGTGGTGCTACAGCTGAGTGTCATGGACTGACTGAAGCCAAAGCGGAGGTTCAGACTGAAGATTTCAGTCATGTTCTATTCACCCGGTTCCAGGTAGAATATCATTCACCATGTCAAATCTGGGGTACTAAACTTAAGCACTATTCTAAATTTTATTCAAACTAGTTTCTCTATTTTCTAACCTTCCTCTAACTTTTCAAACATGATAAACAATACAGACATCTCTATTGTGACATATTACTAACAATACACACACACACAAAATATACAGAAAACTCACGCCGTTAACAGTATTCGGCTGATTGTTTTGTGGGGGATTCTGTGTGTTTTGAATAGTTTAAGCTTGTCGCCTGAATACGTTTTGTTGTAGACAAGTGTGCATGGATCTATAATAATAACTGGATAGGGTATTACTAGCTTATTACTAGCTTATAGCTGTCCCACCCATGGGCACAGGGGGCGCCCCTGGTACTGCAGACTAAATTCACGTGGGCTGCCCAGAAAAAAGTCCCATATCAGCCCAGGGTGGTATTGCAAGCATGTCAGCACACGTCATTTTGGCCACGTTTGAGCCGGGACCACGCCCCCACTGGGCCGGACAGACTGAAGCGGGGACCACAGTGGATGGAGATGCTGTCTCTGCACTGGTATCAGCCACGTTGACTTTCCACCCACAATGCATTGGGGATGTTTGGAGACACACAACTGACATCTGTGTGAGAACGAAACACGGTGCTTTAACCCCCAGTCAGAGCAGTTTGTTGGTAAAACGCCCTCTGCTGGTGCCTCCTCCAGGCGCTCTGTTCAAAACCTGATGTGACGTACCTTTGCACTGAGGCAGAGGGGAGCTCCATGTGCCGTTGTCCGTGCACCAGATGTCAGAGGGGCCAATGAGCACCCCCACCTGGCAGCGGTACGTCACTACAGTCCTGGGACTGTATGGAGCCTCTGCAAAGCCCACGACCTCTGCATTGGGCACTTCAGGGGGGTCTTCACAAGACAACTCTGCAAAAGGGAAGGGTACCTTCACCTCAGAGGCCGATTTGATACACAGTATATCTCAATACTTTAACAACGATTCGATACACTGAGGCCCCCTGTCCATACGATACACCCCTGTCAGCAATAACATACACTCCTATTCTCAATAAGATGCGATTTCATAGCAATAAAATATAAGCCTTACAAAAGGGTTTGTTTGGATTAGTTTTGGTTAATAATACTAATATAATTCAAATCACTACAGTTCCAGGTTCTAAAACAGTGTGGTTCTGTCACTTTCCACATGTGCAGTATTTTTGGCCTCATTCTAAGATTTGTCAGACTCTGCTGTGTTTTACTATAGTAAAGGTGCTGTTGTCTGATTTTTTCACAATCATTTATGTTTGGACAAAAAAGATAAGGTCAAAAGCCTCCTTAGCTCAGTCCTGGCTCAGATATGGTTTAGATTGCAGCTTTATCTAGAAACCTTTAGTGAAGTGCATCATTCTTGCCCGTTTTAAAATCTAAATGAGCTCATTGCGCACATATATTTGAAAAAGCGCCCGCCCCGAACAGAAGACAAACTAAAAACCAATAGCATGAAACAATTATCAGCTTGTGTAAAGGAGCTGTTAGCAAAACAAGATGTCCTGCATCTTCAGCACAATGAACAATATCTTCTGCCAGAGGGAAGAAGCTGGAACATGGCTTTCATTGATAATCTTAAAAGCTCAGTTTAAGAGTAAAGATTCATAAAGAACCTCCAGAACAAGCAGCTCACAGCTCTCAGACCTCTTTTCAGAGCAGAACACTTTGTAAGTAAGTAAGTAAGTTAGTAAGTTTTTATTTATATACCGCCTTTTCACTGCAGATCTGAGTCTCAAAGCGGTTTACAATTGTTAATTTTGGGCATTTGTCTCTCACTCCACACAGAGATGGGAGGGGCCAGTACAGGAGGCACATGCCAGAACTATTGGACATATTTTTAGTGGTAGGGGAAACCGGAGTACCCGGAGGAAACCTACGCAGACACGGGGAGAACATGCAAACTCCACTCAGAAAGGCCCTGGTCCGGCCGGGATTTGAATCCAGGACCTTCTTGCTGAGAGGCGAGAGTGCTATCCACTCAGCCACCGTGCCGCCCACGGTGTTTAGAGCTCTCCTTTCTTTGGCTGTGATGTTACCAAACCATAATAGACATTTTAAAATAAGTTATTCTGCGACCCCTAGACAGTGTCCCCATGGGCCCCGGCATTCAGTTTGTAAATACGTTTTATATTTACCTTCACATAGAGGATCATGTCCATCCCAGCCTCGAGACAGACAGTTTCTCGTAGCTTGTCCCACCAGCTGAAACCTGGAAGTTCGTCAAATGTGTGTCAGACTCATCGAAAGCCCAACATAAGAAAAAAAATGAAAAAAAGCCATACCCAGAGTCACACTTAGCAGTCGCTATGTCTCCAAATTCAACTCCAGTGTAGATATAACGACCATTGTGGATTTCGCCCGCAGAACCACACAGTCTTCCTGCAACAGAACAACTATATTACTGTCTTGAAAACTATAAAAGTGCAGTAGCTCTGTCCCCGTCCTTCTGATTGTACGACACATGTAGGTGTGATAAAAGTCATTATTTGAAGTCTGTACTCTCTTGGGAGATAAATTATGAACACTATACCTGACCTGCTTTTACTTTTTGTAATAATGGATGTAATTTTATTGTAAAGCACTTTGTCCGCCTTAAGTGTTGTAAAGGGCTCTATGAATAAAATTTTTTTATTGATTGACCTCCCGATTCAAACATTCAGGACATTTTATCTATCTATCCTTTCATGTTTTTGTAATTATGCAGAATTGTACAAAATGTCAACCATGAACCAATTATAGTCTTTCAAAAAAGGTGGATCTACCAACATTTAATTTGGGAAGAAAATATGATTAAGTAAAAAAAAAAAAAAAACTAAAAGAAAATGTTTTTAACTTTTATGGGACTTTTGATTTGACGGTGATCCTGACCTAAGGAATGGAGATTTATATTTTTGCCCAATAAGATGTATAATAATAATAATGTCTTGCCTTTGTGTGTGTCTGTTCGGGGTTGTCATTTTGTGTTTTAGTTTTATGTTGTGTTTTTGTGTTCTTGTTGAACGTTGATTGGTTTGTCTGTTTTGTTGTCTTTAATAAAATAAAAAATAAAAATAAAACTAAACCAATTTGATTTTCATGGTCCCATTCTCCAATCAAAGTGAAAAGTGAAAGTTCTCACGTCTGCACTGTAGTTCCAGCGGCGACCACTGTCCTCTGATGCATTTGCGATACTTTGAGCCCTGATCGCGGACGTGCCCCACGCCGCACAAGTAATACACTTTGGCACCAGCGGCAAAAGACTCGATGGAGAAGAACTTTGGGGCCAGCTGGACATTGGAGCCTCGTGGGGTTTCTGGAACGCCACATCTGCCTGCGGGACACGGCCAGGGCTGTTATTGCCATTTGTATAAAAGCACTGATACGTTGTTAATGGTTTATGCACAGTTTAAAATACTAATAAAGTAAGTTTTGAGTTTGTCTGTGTGAATAAGAGCATCTGTGTGTCAAGATGTATGTGTGTGTGTCCTATTGCTGTTGTGTGTTTTGTTGGCAGGTATTGCAGGGTCTTGATTCCTTTTTCTTCTTATGTATTGTGTTTGAATGGCGCGGAGGGGATTGGATTAAAATACACTTTTTGCTTTGACCAATCTCTTTTCAAACCATGCACAGGTTCTCTTGTTTACTGCTATTATATATACTTTTTTGTGAATAATTGTTTATATATCTCTTGCATGTTTGAAATAAATAATAAAAGTGATTGAAAATAGTGGTTGGAATTCTAGGAAGTGGAAGGAAGAGTGATATGAAATGGACGAAGAAAAGAATGGTTGATTAGTGATTTTAATACCGTTTTAACATTAGAAAGAAAAATAAATGTACCAGTGTGTTGGGTCCAAGCAAAGGCCGAGAGGGTTCAAAAAGGTCATTTCCACACTGTCGCTCGAGCTTCATAGGGCATGATAAAAAAATATAATATTGCATATCCCTTTACATAGTATGGTGGTGAGCCCTTGGTAATTAATAAATAAATGAGGATTTTTTTTAAATCTATGCAAAACAATGTGGTTTTAATCCATGCCACTACATTATTTTATACAGCAAGAATCTTCTTCAGTCTTCCTGAAAATGTGAAATAGACCTCTGCACTGACATTGTTCAAATCCAGGTAAAAAAACAACTGAAGTATTTTATGTATTTTAATGTACAGTGTTGTATTATTGTAATGCTTTGTGTGATTGTTTCCATCTTGCTTTGTCCTGCACTTTGAGTTGCCTTGTGTATGAGCTGTGCTATACAATTATACTTGCCTTGCAAATTAGCATACATTATACATTTTATCGTCAGTGATAAAAAGGTTCCTTTATACATTTAAACTTAAATGTGAAACCAGTATGATACAGCCTTTGTTTTAATGTTGGTGATTGTGGCTTATACAGTTTTATATTATTTGAGATGTATTTGTGGATTTTACACACCGTCAGCCAAGAACCAACAGCTTTTTATATCTCACTTTGCCTGAAACGAGTCATATTTTATTTTTAGTGTAAGTTGAATCACAGTAAATAGACTTTTGAACATTGTCCGAGTTTCACTTGTATATTTGTGTAATCTGACCTACATACAGTATTTTGCTTCTGTGAACCTGTTATCTCTGTATCACTGCTAAACAATGTTATCTGAAGAACTGAACATATTTTTTTTGACACGTTGTTACTTCAGTATCTGCATCTTAAGCAGGCGTCATTTATACCTCAAGTGATGTCTTTGTTCTAATGCTCATCGGCATACATCCTAAAAAGCCTTGATCAAAAGGGACTCGAAAATAAACCCTGGTACTGTACAGGTGCAATCGTCTTCATTTCTGGACATATTTACAAAGTATTCTCCCCAACATCTTCTATTCTTGTATTCACATTTTCACAGCCATCAGTCCGACAGGGAAAACTGTTTTGGAAAACTGTTTAAGTACAAGACTTAAACAACTTTGCCAGCTTGAATAGTTTGACTGTTGTGTGTTTGGGACTGGTTTGTGGTGCGAGAGACTAATCTAAAAGTGTACCATAAAGTGACTTCAGCTTTCTGGAAAAGCACTACAAAAAACATCTATGTCATTCAAACCTACGCGACCAAAGAAAAGCCACACATATTTTCCCACACCACTGCTGTCATAAATGAGCTATCCTGGGGTCTGTTTTGACAACTCTATAATAATAATAATAATATTAAAAGGATAAATGAATCATAGAAAATGTGCCCTCTTCTGGAGGTGTGTTATGATCCCGGGTGACTCACTGGTCGTGGCTGCCCTGGGCACACACTGTGGAAGAGGGGGCTGCCACTGTCCGTCATCTCCACACTTGACGTTCCTCTCTCCTCTGGCCTCGAACCCGGCGCTGCAGGCCACGGTCACCATGGCGCCGACTTTGTAGTCATGAGTAACGCCCTTCTTCACCGAGTTCGCCACTTCAGGAGCCGGGCACATGGCGGCGACCGCAGCTTCTAAAAATACAAATGATTCACAATATTGTCTGGGGAAAAAGGAATTATAATGTAAAAACATGACTTGTGTGACTCACTCCAGCCTCTGTTTTTGGATACTGCATTTACCGCAAAGCTTGTGAGTTATGCATTATTGATATTATTTTAATCATTTATCATCTGATATCTATTGGTTTTTACAAAAAGTCACATTGAGGGACGCTCAGTCACAAACATTGTTTTTCAATCCATCCAGGCTAATGTCAGGCACAAACAGGTAACTCCACCCCTTCTATCTCCTGTCTCTCACTCATTTAGTAGTACCACTATGACAACATACTCAAAGTAGAAGAAAACTGGTCCAGTTAAGAAAAATCTAAATTCAGCAAAGAAAAAAAAAAAAAAAAAAAAAAATACTAATCACTGTAGCTAGTATAGCGAGAGATAGCATAAGAATTAAAAACAGAAGTATTGCCCACACATATCTCTAGTGAAATTATGTACTTTAAATGGCTGAATAAAATAACCCGGCTGGAAGCAGAATTCCAAAACGGGTCAAAAAACACAGTTTGGTAGTGGAACCGAGACTTTAGTTACAGTGCAGTAGAAGTGACTGTAGAATAGACGTCCCCCAAAAGGAAAGGTCGTGTACATACTGTATAAACCAAAACACCAGTAGTATTCTCATCCTCTGCCTTTGACTTCAAGCTTACGAATGTGTGCATCAAATATTTGACTTGTGACAAAAGTTGATTCGTTGGATTGCCTAATACTATTCAAACCTACGCGACCAAAGAAAAGCCACACATATTTTCCCACACCACTGCTGTCATAAATGATCCTGGGTATTTGTTTTGACAACTGTACAATGATAACAATACAAGGATAAATACATCATGGAAAATGTGCCCTCTTCTATATTCGTCACTGGTGTGTTACGAGAGCACAATCACTTCCTGATCCCGGGTGACTCACTGGTCGTGGCTGCCCTGGGCACACACTGTGGAAGAGGGGGCTGCCACTGTCCGTCATCTCCACACTTGACGTTCCTCTCTCCTCTGGCCTCGAACCCGGCGCTGCAGGCCACGGTCACCATGGCGCCGACTTTGTAGTCATGAGTAACGCCCTTCTTCACCGAGTTCGCCACTTCAGGAGCCGGGCACATGACGGCGACCGCAGATACTGAAACTATAAATGATTCACAATAATGTCTGGATGTCCGCATGGTTATGTGTGCGTAATACACTCTGTAAAAATAAGTGGTTTATGTGGCAACGGTCAACCTAAACCCAAAATGATGTAAATATCATGTAAATTATACCTTTGCATTATGGATGATATTTTCATTATTCATCATCATCTGATAATATTTATTTGTTTTTACATAAAGTGACACTTTAGGTAACACTTTATTTAAGCCGGCTAGTCCAGTAAGGAAAAATCAAATTTCAGCTAAACATATTTAGGGTGTTTTTAATCACTGTGGCTAGCATAGCGAGAGATAGCCCAAGGATTAATTGCAGAAGTAATGCCCATACAATTCCCAAGTGAAATGATGTACTTTAAATGACTGAAAAAGCTGTATTAAGGGGAACCTCGTGACTGAAGTTGATTCGTTGCATTGCGTCATATCATGTTACGTCACAATAAACTGCTGACCTAACTACTGTGTTGGACGTACGTCTATGGGACAATAACGAGTTTGGAAATCTCGTACGCCAGACTTGCTGAAATGGATTAAATTAGGATGAAACATGTTCCAGCATGCGTCACATGCAATTAGAATTCCGTTTCTATATTGCAACAACAGACCCACCTTCACACGTCAACACCAGCCCGTGGTCTGTGGGCCAGCCTGCACTCCCACATTCAATAGACTCTGGTCCTTTCAGGGTGAATCTGTGAAAACCAAAGCAGTGTCACATGTTTGGATCATAAATGACGTCATGTGTTTTAAAATGAATCTCAGAGATCTCCAGTCTGCAGGGAAATATGTGACTGTAAGCCAGGGATATCAAACTGTATTCCAAGGTCTGTCTGAGTCTGTCTGTGTGCGCGTCTTTCTGTGTGTGTGTGTGGGAGTGGGGGCGTCTCAGTGTGTCTCTGTGAGTGTGTGTGTGTTTCTCTGTGTGTGTTTCTGTGGGTGTCTCCGTTTGTCTCTGTGTCTCTTTGTGCTTGTGTGTCTCTCTTTGTGAGTGCGTGCGTGTGTACATTTCTGTGTGTGGGGGGGTGTCTCAGTGCGTCTTTGTCTGTCTGTCCGACTGTCTCTGTGTGTCTCTGTGTGTGTGTGTGATGAACGTTGTGCTGCTTCTTAAGTGAACAAAGTTGTGTAGTGACAGACTGACCCGGTGTCACAGATGGGAAAGGCTTTGGCTCCCAGCACTGGTTCTCCGTCATACTTTATGTGACCGTTCACCAGCTCTCCGGCACTTCCACACGATTTCTCTGATTAGAAATAGTGAAAAAAATATATATATTTTCAATACATACATCTATTCAACTAACATTCTCAGAGCCGTTTTCTGACTTTTTAAACAAACAAATTGCCCATGAATTATGAGTTTGTGTGATTTCTCAAGTGAAATTAATATTTGCGTTGATGTGTTTGCAGCCAGTCATTTTTCATTTGGAACAAAGTAAATTCCGCTCCTACCCCTGGTGGTGGCAAATGGAAAAGGCAGGAGTATCACATCATTTCCCTTTGACCAATAACTTCTAAACATATAATATATTCCAAAACATGAAATGACAAAGTAAAGTTTCTCATTATCATGGTCATTATCATTATCATTATTATTATTATTGTCATCATGTAATGCAAAATATATATATATTTTTTTTAAAGCAAAAATTCAATTAAAAACAAATAAAAATAAATAGTAAAAGTTGTGATATTACTCATTAAAACATCCATCCAGCCATCTATTTTCTTCCCCTTCATCCATTTCTGGGTCGGGGGGGTGGCAGTTCACATAGTACCAGCCCCTCACAGGAGCCTTGATCTTTCAGCGGGGGCTTCAGGCAAAGTAGGGTTAAGTGTCTTGCCCAAGGACACAACTCACAATCATTAAACAAGTGATTGATAATGGGGTTTCAAAGCTGTTCAAATGCAAGAGAGCTAAATACAGTGCGTGTCGTTCGGACCCCGTCGAAGTGTGTCTGTTTGAGAATACGGTCACTTTCTCATGTCCCCTATAGAATCTAATCAAATAAAAAAGTCATGCCCCGAGTTTCTTTTTTTAATCAATACAACGTCTTGCAACCCTCAGCCTGCAGGCTCAGATAACACACATTTGCTACATATTTGTCTGGACTCTGGCTGCTGAACATATTGCATATTTTACACCACAGAACAAATAGATACACAAGCATGGAATGACAAATGGCTGCTAACGTACAGTAGGATGATCCTCATGATGCTAACAAGTATCAGTGAATATTAGAACCCTCAGAGCTAATGACTCATAACTTCAATATTTTTGCACTGGATTATATTGCAGATTTATCTACACATTATACATACAAGTATATTTCCTTACACAACAGAATTTTTGGTTTATTCTTTCTACTAAACTCATTTGAGGTGATCATGGGGTCACGGGGCTGGACATCATTCTGAAGTCCAGCCCCATGGCGCCTGTCCCGTGCTGTCCCATACTGTCCCATACTGTCCGGTCCCTCTTACGTTACAGAAGTCCTATCCCAAACGCAGTATGTGAAACAACAGACCTCTGTTGATAACAGACTGACACTCACGCTCACAGCGCAGGCTCATCTCGCTCCACACGCCTCCCGTACACGTCCTCACACGGCTGCCCGCTGAAGGCACGTACCCGTCCACGCACTTGTACAGCGCTTTGTCTGCGGTGTAGCTCATCAGCTTGGCGTAAGGGAAGTCTGGAGGTTTGGACGCACAGCCGCTCCCGTCTGCTGTTCAGGGGAATGCAAAAGTCAGAAGATAAGTCCACCAAAACAAACTCACGGATGACCTTCTGTGCCGCGTTTTACCTGTAGACAGAAAAGCGCAGGAGAAAAGTGCAATAATCCTGGAGAAAGTCTTCATTGCTGCGTCACCTGGAAGCACTGCTCTGGAGGAGGAGGTGGAGGAGGAATGCACAGGAGGCGCGCATCAAGCAATTTATGGCACAGTGTGGCGCACGGGCTGACGCATGGCACATGGCGCAAGGATCACGCAGGGACTGGACCACAAAGCGGATTATGTCACTAGAATAGACTGTCAATTGTGTTGATAAAGTGTTCTGGACTGACGCAGATAATGTGTGACATCATATTAAACAGCCTCGTCTTCTCAAGGCTGTTTTTGGAAGTAAAACTAAAGTCTGCCATAAGTTTCAGAAATAACATTGTATATGGCAACGGTAATCTTTCGATTGACTTTTTTTTCCTTTTTAAACAGAAGTAGTTTTTATATACATCACGTTGACTATACTTTACAATATCCTACCGCAGTGTTCCCCAAACTTTTTGGTATATTTAAAAAAAGAATGCGTCTGGAAAGAATCACCGACTGCATCTTTATACTGAATTATTTGTGGTGATTAGTGGCAGTTAACACTCAGCAACAGCAGACCTTCTGTAAATAAAGTATAATAACTTCAGCAGGAACAGTATAACTAATGCGTGATAAGGCAGAGTATTTTCAAAACATTTCTCAACTTTTAATTGCTGAGTGTGTAGCCTCCGAAAACCCACCCAGACGATTCTTCTTCTGACTATCACACAACTTCAAAGTGACAGATTAAGTTGTATTAGTAATATGTTCATACTATATGTGAAGCCTAACCATGACCATTAGATATTTTTGCATATTTGACCCAGTGGCTGTAGAGCAGCACGATGCATTTGGCCACAGCTGTGTCTGCACTGCTCCAGGATCAATTGTTAGATTTTCTGGTGCAGGGGTTTCACAGCAGAGAAAACCTTCCAAACTATTGATCCTAGAGCATCCTAGAGACCACTGTGATGAAAGTAAAGGCACTCATCCATTGGGTCGCTACAAACTCAAATACGAGAAAAAAAGATTATATATATATAAATGCCCTTGCGAAATGAATGAATGAATGAATCAAGAGCAATATGATGATTACCTGCCCTCCAATCTGCACAGAGGTCAGAATATGAGCTGGGCGATTGTATTTCCCACTGTCTACACTGTCCCTGCAGAAGTGAACTGATGATGCAGCAGCTTTAGACACTGTGTGGGACATTCAGTCTGATCCACACATTTTTTTTATCCCAGAAAAATATTCAAGTTTATTTACTTTCAAATGTGAGTCATCCATTCTATTCTTTATATGTGACGCAAAGTCTATGTTCAGTTGGTCGTCTCTTTTGCGTGATTGACTTTGGAAATGATGAGTAAACATGCATTTTCCGGTAGAACAGGACAACACGCCTTTCTCAATGGATCAAAACACATTTACAGTTGTGCTTGAAAGTTTACACACCCAGAACCAGGAGGAAAAGCCATTGTTTTTGGCCTTATTTTGGAGATTATGAATGAACACAACTTTTTCCCTGTTTGAGTTGTTGGTTGTGTGAAGCCATATATTTTTTCAATGTTCAAATTTTGACATAATTGAACTTCTCTGGGGATGTGCAAGGCAGCCCAGGAATATGCAGAAACTGGAGATTTTTCACCAACATTCATTCCACTGTTATAACTGTAAATATTGACACACGGTGAAACTTGCATATTGCTGTATGTGTATATAAGTATATTGCATGTATGCACTGTCTAAATGAGCAAAAAGGTACATTTGTAAAGTACTTATGAACGAAACGTTTAAGCACAATTGTAAAAGATATAGAGCAACTAGAATGCAATTAACCCATTTCAATATTTATTATAATTAGTTTGTTGTAAGATACATGTAGCAAACACTTATAAGTAATTGAAATGAAGACATTTCGTTGAAGACAGATCATGATTTTATTTCAGTAACTGCAGTGACACGAGACTTCCAAAGTGACTTACATTGATTATCATTGACAGATGACATTCTTTTCTTTCAAGTTCAGGCACAAAAACTGTGTGAGTTTATGTCATATACATTTACACATGATGCCAAGATAGTTAAGGGCACTTTGTGGATCGCTTGGTTCCAGTGAAGTAGCTTTGTCAGCTGGATCAGAAGGAACCACAAAATGTTATCTTTCATTTAAACAATTGTTCTTTCAAGACGAACCATGTCCCGTATTAAAGCGGAATTTCACTTTTCATTTCATTAATACACGTTTATTCCAACAGAAAGAGTTCGGTTTAAGTAACATTTGTTGAATAAATCAACCACAACAAGCCGTCTTTAACTTTAAGACGTTCTAGCTTTTACAGACTGAAAGCTGATTGGTTTAGTGAGGGCTGGCACACTCAAAATAATGTGACAGAGGCCAACAAAACACACATGTGAGGACTAGTGTCAGAGGCAGATTGTAGAGCGAGGAATGAGTCCTATGTAGTCAACATTGAATCCCTAACAAGGATTCCAAAGTTGGGTACACCAGCTTTAATCTAAATATCTCATAAACTCTGCTTCATGAGTCCCAAATAAAACTATATAATCAGACATACAATAAATTAATTCCAATTTAAAAGTCATGATCTAGACCTGCTGGCAAAATATTTCTAGTGTGTTACTATGAAAGGTTTGTTGGTGATAATTAAAAAAATATTACATACAGGATTCAACAACATGGAGAAAGCAGTTTCCTGGAGGTGCTTCAACTCAAGTAATGTAAAATTGTCCATGGGAGTTTGAAAAGGATTGTCAGAAATAGATTTGGTTTCAGCAGGCAAACTTCAAATACAAATATCTCATCTGGTTAAGAATTAAATATCAAAATACAATAATGGAAATAGATCGAGCGTCCAACACCAACCATTCCAAACATAAAAAGCCACTATGAATAGCTGGATACATTCTAAATCCAACACACTGTGCGTGATCTGACACATGAAAACAATACATCCCATTTATATATATTCTGGCTCTATTGTTAAAACAAGGTAACATATCATTTTGGAAAGGTTTAAAGAGCCATTTTTAAAAACTGGTCAACATAAATATCACATTAAAAGAATGTACTATAAGTATTTGGTCAGAGAGAGTTGTGCTGGTGCGGTAACAGGATCTTCTGCTGCTCTTTAAGTGGGAGCTGGGTCAGAGTCGGCGGATGCACTAAAGCCGTTGAAAATCTCCTGTGAACCAGAAAGAACCATAAGAGGAGAACAAATAAGGAGAGGGCAGCAGAGAGGGGGCACAGAGAGCTGTTTTTATTGGCAGCGGAAAGCAAAGGCTGCAGGAGGAGGCCGAGCAGGGGGAAAGCCAGACCCAGAAGCAGGAACCAGTGTGTGGTGGTATATTGTGGGGTTGGAGCATTACTGTATAGCAGGTGGTTTGAACTAATCCTCTCTGCAGTGTGAGAAGGCGCGGTTCCATCTCGTGATACCGTTAAGTGGTCATCTGGAAAGGGCTTCTGATGTTTTTTTTCTGATTTTTTTGAATGGGCCAGAGCATGCCATTAAACACACATATCTGAAACATGAATGTAAACATGCCAGATTATAGCCAAAGGATAATTTCCATCTGTAGTCTCGTGGGGTTAGGCTCACAAGGTTAAAAACGAAACAAAAAAAAACAAATAAGTTTAAAGTATTATTCAATTCTCTCCACACTGTGATGACGGAAGTGAGACACAGAGCACGCTGGGGCATCAAGGCTCTAACCAACACCATCCATCCACTCATTCGCTACATTCAGACCTATTGTGCATGTTTTCAGTGGTAGAGGAAACCAAAGCACCTGGAGGAAACCTACACGGACACAGGGAGAACATGTAAACTCCACTCAGAAAGGCCCTGTTCCGAGCAGGATTTGAACTCAGGACCTTATTGCTGAGAAGCGAGAATGGTAACCACTCAGCACTGGCTACAGTCCACACATAATTATCCACCAAGACTTCTTTATAGCTGCATCTAAACCAAAGTCCTATCAAAGCTGGGGATGCTCACCGAAATACAATATTCTAACCCCGCTACGACATTGTTTCCTTCGTCAAAAACAAACTTGTACCTCTGTCCGTAACATCACGCACTGCTTTTATATGTGAGGAGAGAGAAAGCCCGACAGGACGTCACCAGAGAAACAGTGCTTTCCTTTGTGCTGTAGAAAGACCTGTGGCGTGCTCGCAGTTTATATTTTATGTCTGAAAAGCAAACACTCAGAGTAAAGATGTTGCTTGTTTTCCAAAAGTGTGCTTATGCTGTATAAATGAAAGAGTATGTGAGGCGTCTTTGTAAGCAAAACACAGTGATAAGATAACTCTGTCACAAAGAGGTCAATCCAATACCGTGCTCCGAGCAGTTTGAGAGAACAGTGTCATTTCCTCACTGTGGGACTGATAAAATGTGTAATTCATTCATGTATTCATATTCTCTGCTCAGTGAGAGACAGAGCGTATCTGCAGTCGCTGGGCATTTATCAAAACTACATGGTCAAACCCACTATGGAGGAGTACATGGAAGAGTGAAGTGTGTGTGTGTGTGTGTGTGTGTGTGTGTGTGTGTGCGGTTTATATTGTGTGAGCGAGAGGGGTTGGAGCCCACTAAAGCGTTTGCTTCGTCCAACGCCTTTTCAAACTGTATTTTTCAAATGGAACGTCTGCATCTTGTTTGTTTTGTTATGTAGAATGAAAAAGATAAAGTTTGAAATACACATTTAATTGTAATTCCTTATGCCACCAGTAGAGTTTCCCCTGTTGGAGTTCATTCTAAAAGCATCACAATCTGCTTTAAGACCTATCGGCACTGTGAGGAAATTCTAGGTTTTTAACCACAAAATAAAAGAGCAACAGGAACATATTAAATAGTCATCACAAAGAGCTCTGTCTCTGGGTTTGTGGGGTATAGTGATAACAGCCAGCCGAGAGAAAAAAAGTCAATACATTCAAGTACAGTACATACAGTGCCTTGCAAAAGTATTCGGTCCCCTTGAACCTTTTTACATTTCGCCACATTTCAGGCTTCAAACATAAAGATATACAATTTTAATTTTTTGTCATGAATCAACAACAAGTGGGACACAATCGTGAAGTGGAACGAAATTTATTGGATAATTTAAACTTTTTTAACAAATAAAAAACTGAATAGTGGGGCGTGCAATATTATTCGGCCCCTTTACTTTCAGTGCAGCAAACTCAGTCCAGAAGTTCAGTGAGGATCTTTGAATGATCCAATGTTGTCCTAAATGACTGATGATGATAAATAGAATGCACCTGTGTGTAATCAAGTCTCCGTATAAATGCACCTGCTCTTTGATAGTCTCAGGGTTCTGTTTAAAGCGCAGAGAGAACCATGAAGACAAAGGAACACACCAGGCGGGTCCGAGATACTGTTGTGGAGAAGTTTAAAGCCGGATTTGGATACAAAAAGATTTCCCAAGCTTTAAACACCTCAAGGAGCACTGTGCAAGCAATTATATTGAAATGGAAGCAGTATCAGACCACTGCAAATCTACCAAGACCCGGCCGTCCCTCCAAACTTTCATCTCAAACAAGGAGAAGACTGATCAGAGATGCAGCCAAGAGGCCCATGATCGCTCTGGATGAACAGCAGATAACTACAGCTGAGGTGGGAGAGTCTGTCCATAGGGCAACAATCAGTCGTGCACTGCACAAATCTGGCCTTTATGGAAGAGTGGCCATTTCTCAAAGATATCCATAAAAAGTCTCATTTAAAGTTTGCCACAAGCCACCTGGGAGACACACCAAACATGTGGAAGAAGGTGCTCTGGTCAGATGAAACCAAAATCGAACTTTTTGGCCACAATGCAAAACGATATGTTTGGCGTAAAAGCAACACAGCTCATCACCCTGAACACACCATCCTCACTGTCAAACATGGTGGTGGCAGCATCATGGTTTAGGCCTGCTTTTCTTCAGCAGGGACAGGGAAGATGGCTAAAATTGATGGGAAGATGGATGGAGCCAAATACAGGACCATTCTGGAAGAAAACCTGTTGGAGTCTGCAAAAGACCTGAGACTGGGACGGAGATTTATCTTCCAACAGGACAATGATCCAAAACATAAAGCCAAATCTACAATGGAATGGTTCACAAATAGATGTATCCAGGTGTTAGAATGGCCAAGTCAAAGTCCAGACCTGAATCTGTGGAAAGAGCTGAAGACTGCTGTTCACAAACGCTCTCCATCCAACCTCACTGAGCTCGAGCTGTTTTGCAAGGAAGAATGGGCAAGAATTCCAGTCTCTCGATGTGCAAAACTGATAGAGACATACCCCAAGCGACTTGCAGCTGTAATTGCAGCAAAAGGTGGCGCTACAAAGTATTAGCGCAAGGGGGCCGAATAATATTGCACGCCCCACTTTTCAATTTTTTATTTGTTAAAAAAGTTTAAATTATCCAATAAATTTTGTGTCCCACTTGTTGTTGATTCTTGACAAAAAATTAAATTTTGATATCTTTATGTTTGAAGCCTGAAATGTGGCGAAATGTTGAAAGGTTCAAGGGGGCCGTATACTTTCGCAAGGCACTGTATATGATCCTTTAATCATTTTAGAATCCGGTTCTAATGCTCTAAAATCATATTATGTGCTTAAAATTTACAGCTGGACGTCTGTGATTGTTTCGACCACTGATAAACTCATCACTGACCTGGTTTTGCGGCTCTGCACCTTCAGGCGCCTCTGACAGTTGCATGCTGGGTAATGTAGGCGTGTGGGAGAACCGAGAGACCGTGGAGTTGTCTGCGCTGTAAAGACGAGGCCTTTTGATCTGGTCCCGGGACGACAGCGGCGTGAAGCTGTTCCTTCTGATGAAAGCCGGAGGCATCTCGTTCACTGGTTTTTTCTGTCCGGAAAGTAAAACGATATTTTCAACAAAACATTTGACATATCATGGAAAAAAAAAACCTGAACAATGTCAAAGTAGTGAAGTAGATAGAAGGCACATCGATTTCAAGAGATCCAGTGTTTGTGGGAAGAGTTGCAAGCCTGAGTTGAAAAAAGGGTCAGCGGTCTGTAGGTCTGATTTCAGTCACACACAATGATACACAATGACAAAAAAACATTTAAAACCAGCTCACACAGGTCAAAGTATATAGTGGATGCAAAACCAAACCCAATATTGGCACAATGTGTAAACAGTGTGGCATATTTATAGTAGTAAGTAATATAAATATGACTATCCACATTTAAATACTAACTGTCTGTTGATAATATAAACCGTTCACACATTTTAGGCAGATATTCAAAAACACGTCCCTTTATAAAACGAAGAAACTACGGCGAGTCTTGTTAAACTGGGTGAGGAATATCCTGTTTACAAGAGCTTTCAGCAGAGAAGGAACACCCACTCTGTCTGGGATCAGGTCAGACACCAAAACAAGGACTTTGCCATTTTTCTACTAATGCAGAGATGTGTGATATGGCCCAGTATTTCAGACAGTTTTAACCATACACTAAGAAACTAAGAAACTAGTAAATGTAAATCATAAAACATTATTTAGAGAAAATGCCATTGACATTCTCTTGGCAAAAAGGAAAAAAGGCAATAACAGACAATGTTGGATTCAAACCAATGCCCAGACCAACATCAATGTTTTATGCTGAAGTTGAGGTGCAGCTTGTTGTTGTAGTCTCATCATTCACACTTTCACTTTTAAGATCAATAAAATATCACAACACAATCTTACCAAGATGGGTCTGTCCCGGTGCGTGTTGACAGATTTCACTTTTAAGTCAAACATATCTACTTTACAGCCTGAAAAAAATATAAGCAAAATATGATATTATTAATACTATTACTAATGTACATGTTACATTAGGAGCATGGAGTAAACTCACCATATGCCACTGGTGTCAGTTTAAGGACAGTGTGGAGGGGGCATTTCAAATAAGGCAGGTCGTCTACACCAGAGGAAAATAAAACAGCATTAGAAAAACTGATTTACTGTGTATTTATTGGTGTCCTTTTTGTATGAGGTGTTTCTAGAGCAGCAGTAAACGCATGACCATCTCCTCAGTGGATGCTCTGTCTGCTCTAAATATACACTGCTCCCAGTGTTTCCCGCCCAGAACCACTCATTTGACTTCTGTTGTTCCAGACACACTCTGACAATAACAAGGGCTGCTTTGGAAAAGAGACTAAGAACAGGACTGGGTAAACATGTTATTATTCTAATCATTTTACTTTTTTGTTGTCAATCTTTCAACACAGAAATAGGGTTGAACTGAACAGTAAATCCAGTTTAAATGGTCCATCTCTACAACGATACAAAGTTAAAAGTACGTTAGTATGGAATTATTTTGCCTCAAGGCACAAGTTTTAAATTTGCCAGCTATGTAATAACAATAGGCTTTTTGGATTCAATGTAAAATGCAACATGGAAATAAGTGCTGAAATAATATGAATGTAATGCACTACATTTTCATTAGATTTTGTTGCTTGTGAAGCACTTTGGGTTACACTGTATGAATTGTGCTTTATCAATAAATTTGATTGATTCATTGATTAAGACTTTAATGAAAAAAGTCCTTTAAATTCCCAGTGTGTGTACCCAGGACCAGAGGGATTTGCATTCTAATAGACAACAGCAAGTTTATCATCGAAGTGGAGCAATTCCACAACTTTATAAATGACAGAGCAGCGCGTGTCAAAGCCTAATCTTTGACTGTAACCAAACAGGGCTTGTTATGCAAAGTATTGTCCCTCATATGACTTGTCCTTCGTGCCCGAGTCCTGGATCTACAGTCTATCCGACAGTTGGGAGCGGATCCCATCTCAATATAGGCCTTCTAAAGGTTTCTCAATTTGTCCCCACTGTTTTTTATTTTTCTTAGCGAAGCAGGGAGGGTCAAAGGACCATGATGATCAGGGACATTTAGGGACACTCATGGACATGGGTCATCCTGTTCCCTATGGATCAATGGCTCCTGTGTGTTTGTCTTTATCGGATTTTCTGTAGTTGGCGAATGGACAACTTTGAGCTGTTTTATAACCTTTTTCACCTGACCCACATGCAATGGGCTTCGGTGTTTTTGCTTTCTAAATTCTCCCAACTATCAATCCAAGTGTTCACAGTCCCCCAAAGGAATAAGTGTAGGGTCCGTGGAGGGTCAATTACCACTTTTTGAGACACCAACTCATGTCGCTCAGAGTGAAAGAAACAGACGTGTGAATATGCCGAATGACAAATATTTGAATCTTGAAAAACATCCATCTTGTCAACATTAAAGTGATAGTCTGTAGTCTTTAATTTTCCAATTTTAGGAAATGTTTTAAATTGACCTCCTGGCCTTAAATGTTGATATAAAATAAGTCATTTTAATAATTGTAATATTACAAGTCTCGCCTTCCCTTCTCTTAGTTATAGCTCAGAATCCACGATGCCGTCCACGTTAACCAATCGAGTCATGCCAAGGGCTGTCAATCATCGGCGCTGATGCTCGCAACTGCGCGCATGCTCAGTTTTTGCGGAGCCTCTGAATCAAGCCTCTATTAGGCTCTGGAACTACATGAAAACTGAACAAAGAATTCTGAACATCTGCGCTGAGGTACTTATATATATACTGAACCTATATCCATAATCATTTATAAACTGAACCTATATCCATAATCAGATCCTCTGCAGATGTGTCCTATAATGTGCAGTTCATGATAATAGCCTCTTCTGGGTTTGCCGCAATCGCTTTTTTTGTGCATAAAAACATTATTTTTTTCATCAAAACGTTAACAAATAATTCTGAAAACCTCCGTGCATGTGTATTAATAATGTATATGTATAATGTGTTCTGATTAACATTTAAATGGAATCGTAGGCGTAGACCAATCAGAAAGGAAGGGGGAGGGAGCTTGCGTAGTTTTTTTCAAATCAAGTACCTCTCTCTCTCTCTTTCTGACAAACTCCAGACAATCACTTTAAGTTCCCCTTCTGTTGCCTTTAAAGACGTCTGAATGCCTTTTACCTGCGCTCTTGTCTCTGAAGTAAGCGAGTAAGCAGCGCATGACAGCCTGGTGACAGATGACCAGCACGTTCCCCTGTCTCTCCAGCTCCATTATAACCGGCTCCAGACGCTGCACCAGGTCTTGGTAGGACTACAAATGTATTCAGTCATAAAGTGCAGTTACAGCATGGCTCACCAAAAGCCAATCCAACGAGAGGTTAATGAACGCGTCACCTCTCCTCCTGGGTAGCGATAGTGGTATTTGTCTTGGTCTCTCATGGCGTATTCTTCTGGATAAGTTTCTTCGATCGTCTTGTATGTCATTTCCTCGCACACTCCCTGTAATCAGGAAAAGGTTGACAAAGTCTTTGAGCAGCTCTTCAGGTTTAACAGAATGTAAAGTGCATAGTTAAACAATATAAAATGAACAACTCAATATATACAAGATCCAGAATTACAGGGATGTAATGTGGGATGTGGTACACAATATTGATTAAGTTTCAAGCACACACAATCCATTCATTCATTATTTCCCCGCTTTATCTGTTGCCGGGTTACAGGGGCAGCAGTCTAAGCAGAGCTGCCCAGACTTCCTAAACCACACACACACTTGCTCAAGCTCAGCTGGGGAATGTCAAGGTGTTCCCGGGCCAACTGAGACCGTCCTTCCAACGTCTTACTGCTGGGGAACACATGCTCCTGTCCTCCATTCACTGGCTCAATTTGTTTTATTGCACCCTTTAGTTTTTGTTTGCACTGGTTAATTTAAAAAGAAAAATAAGTGGACCAAGCCTAAGCCTGCCTCCGTCAACCTTTTTTTTCTTAATTCTCACTGCCATCCAGCCGCTCAAAGCCTGTCCCCTCTCTCGGCGGGCATACCGGAACACCTCCCCAAAGAGGCGTCCACAGGGCATCCAGAACAGACCCTCAGCCACCTCAACTGGTTCCTCTCGACGTGGGGAAGCAGCGGCTTATACTTGACCATTCATTCACAGTCACTCAATTATTATATCTATACCATGCGGACAGTTGTTCTGCTTACCTCAGACATAGCATACAAAGCCTATATTAGTAAAAGTCTGATAATAATACATACTGCATCTATTTCGTTGAGGATCTTCCACTGCTCATAGGGGACCCCCAGCTCCTCTGCGGTCTGGATGGTGCGTCTGAGCTGACTGGTCCACACCTTCAGGTCAGAGAGGTGGTGTTCTTCTACAAAAGCCTTGAGCCCTGCAGCAAACTAAAACGGAAACATCAAATACTTGTCTTCATTAAAATAAATACATTACTACGTTTAAAATGTAATGTTTGTGTCATTGCGTGTATCCACAACAGAATCCTAATTGGCACGGTGGCTGAGTGGATAGCACTCTTGCCTCTCAGCAAGAAGGTCCTGGGTTCGAATCCCGGTCGGACCAGGGCCTTTCTGAGTGGAGTTTGCATGTTCTCCCCGTGTCTGCGTAGGTTTCCTCCGGGTACTCCGGTTTCCCCTACCCCTAAAGATATGTACAATAGGTCTGGCATGCGCCTCCTGTTCGGCGACCCCGCTCCCATCTCTGTCTGGAGTGAGAGGACCAATGCCCAAAAAATAATAATAACAATTGTAAACCGCTTTGTGACCCCTGTCTGTGAAAGGCGGTATATAAATAAACATTACTTACTTACTTACTTACTAACTAATTAATTTATCTCAAGAGATAATTGAGAGAAAAGCGATAATTATTTACCGTCTATAATGTGTTCATAACGGTAATGTGAAACTATTTTTTTTTTTTATAATTAGCAATAGTGACTTTGAGTACTGTAGTTAAATCAGCATGATATAATAGTGGACAAACATGAATAAGTTAGTAATAAACTGTACAATATTGGCCACTAGGGGTTCTGTCAGGAGCAGGGGTCGCCGTAGTACAGTGTCCAAGAACTCATATCTAGATGTTGAAGCTCAACTTGGTCAGGACTGGGGTGGGATTTTACCTATTGTACATGTTTTTTAACTGGTGCACCCGGAGGAAACCTGCAACAAGAACATGCAAACTCCATACAAACTCCATACCAGATTCAAATCCAGGACCTTCTTACTGAGAGGCGAGAGTGCGAACCACTCAGCCCCCGTGCTGCCCACTAACTATTAAACCACTGTATGTAAGCAGTAGAGTAAATCCACACCTGTTTTCCGTTGTCTGTGAGCTGGGAGTCGCCCCCGATGCGTCCCTCCACGTTGTGGTGGCTCTCTCCATGGCGACACAGGTAGATGGAGTGAGAGTGCACATGGATGTTCATCAGGTAATACACAATCTTACTCTGGATGTAATCCTGCACTTTGTTCACCAGGAACCGACGGCCAACGTTGATCACCTGGATGAAGGACAGGTTTCTGCGGACAGAGGAAGAAATGGACTCAAGCCACTGAGCGTACTGAAGCAAAGGTACAGTCACTTTCTCAAGAATAATTCTAAAAAGTACACAACATGACATCGTGAGAGTACAAGTCTGCTTAGGTAACTACGTTTAAAGTGAAGGCAACTGTTTGAATGCAACATCTGGGAGTGAGTTAGTTGTACTTTATTTGTCCTCAACATTTGACCCATCCTTCATTGCCACTAGGGCCTTAGTCAGGAGCAGTGGTCGGCATGGTAAAGCACCTGGGGACCCATCTCCTGATGTTCATGCTCAGTTTGGTCATGATTACCGGAGCAGAAGGATTTTTGCCAATTGCACGTTTTTAGTGGTAGGGGAAACAGGAGCACTTGGAGGAAACCTACGCATATACTGGGTGAACATGCAAACTCCACTCAGAAAAGACCTGTTCTAACCAGGATTCAAACCCAGGACCTTCTTGCTGAGAAGCAAGAGTGCTAACCACTTAGCCACGTAGGTAAAACATTATTCAAGAAGTAGTAGTAGGTTTATGCATGTTTGTAAAAAATGTACAGTAGACAGATACTACTTGTAAATTATATAAATGGTGATGACTGATTTTATAACTGTAGAAGAAAACTCATATCTTGACCTTGACCTGAAAAGTGTGAGACAAAGGATCAACTGTGAAGAAGGCTTATATTTCCCTCTAGTGGAGCATTTCTAAAATGCAGGCGACTTTTATACAGAACTCCATCAGCATGAAAAAACAACATGAGGATGTATGAAGGGTATATTTTCTGACTTACTTGTCGTGTTCATCAGGATCCATAGGTTGATAAGTCACTTTGTAACATTCGATTCTCTTCAAGAAGTCCTCCATGACGCTCTCTCGGTCCTTTTCGGGGTAATCTGGGCTGGACACCTTCACTTCCTGTTCTCAATCAAAAATAAAAATAAACCAACTATGTCATAAAGTTCATGTAACTAGTTCCTCGCTCTCAAAACAGTTTGATTCTATGACTAGTTTTCACATGCATGTATTTTTAGTCTCTGTCACATTTTTAGATCAGCTTTTTCAGATAAAAAAATAAATGAAAAGATTCCACCCTCGGCCAATGAGCACTCAGTGTTCAAATAATATTCTCTGATGTTGTGGTCTTTTTCACAAAATATAACAAACTCTCTCTGTTGGAACATTTAGGTACATTATTAGTAGAAAAAAGTTGTTTTCTTTTTCTGGAACGTAACATTGTATAGTATTAAAGCAATAGATTAATAGATTAACAAAATATATCTCAAAAATATGTTCACATTTTACATGTATTTGTGAGTATTTCATTCCGTTTTCTTTTCTTTTACTCTTTTGTGCATGTGTCGCACTCTTTAGGCAGCTGGTTGTAAAGCTGACAGTGACACTGGATAGCGATATTGTGCTTAAAAAGGCCTATCTAGTTCTGTACCAGTATGTTTTCAGCAATTACATCCGGATCATCACATATGGACTCCACGAAAAACACCTGTGAGAAAAGAAGTAGTTGAGTTTGAAGTGAATGACTGAATGCATCTGTTAATGAAATGTAGCTGTAACCTTGTAAGCATTTTCTTTGGCAAAATTTAGAATGAGCTCCCGTCTCTCTCTGGTCGTGTTCGTAGCATCAAACACCTGGCGTTCGGAAGCAAAAGGAGTGATTCCAAAAATACATTCAGTTTATGAGACAAAATGAATAATTGATCCTCACAGCGATCTGTCCTCCTTCATCACTGAGATAGGCCTTGACATCCTGCAGCGCGATGACGGCACACTGTCTGCAGAGAGACGGCAAACTTCCAGCAATAACATTTAAAGCTTTGCACGATTCAATTAAGTATCAACACAACCTGATTAAGTCTACCGTGTTACACTGATAACACAAGGGAGGAAGCTGAGTGAGGGAGGGGTCGAGACATGTGCCATAAGCTGAGGCCGCCGAGGAAAATTATAAAGTTAGAATCGGCAGATACGGGTTCAAGAACACAACATTCAGATGAGAACTATCAAACTATATTTATCAGTGATGTTGCATGTGAAAATTAGCAACAAGTTCTGGTGGGGAGAGGTGTTATCAGGGTGTAAAATACATACAAAGAAGATATACTGTACTTTTTCACCCTAAAGCTGTGCGTTACCACTATTGTCTCCCCGCTCAACTTCTTTAAATATATATCTGTATCAATGACTTGTTAAAAAAAACAATATCAGTTATTTATTTATAATCTATAACTGTTGCTAAATATAAATAGTATTGAACAGTATTAAATTGGAAGTGACTGGCAAGACCCTTGTCCCTTCAACAGTAAGTCATACGCCTCAGACCTTTGTTTTCCACTTTTTCACGGATCCTTGAAGAGCACCTGACCATTCACGCTTAACCTACACCATTTGATCTCTGTATGCATTCACCACATTCATTTTTGCCTGTATATACATGTATGTACTGTATCAGCAAACTCCAAGATACCCAGGGCTTTAAGGAGCAATGTGTGTGTTGCCCCTTTAACATCCATGACATGAACTTGTGTATCTGCTGCCCATTCCTCTTGTCAGAAACTTGATATCTCCACAGAGCGACATTATATTTGAAAATCGAATATGACATTAATTAAAAAAATGGCTTCACACCACCACAAGCGATGAAAAAGGAAAAAGTTTAGTGTGTTATTGTTCATAATCTTCCAAATGTGGCCAGAATGACGACATCTCTAGTTGGGTGTAAACTTTCCAAGCACTGCATTTCGACACACTCACTTTCTGATCCGCATGGCCTCTTTGTTGTCATGTCTGAAGAAATCATAGGACTTATAGGACTGGACTGCTTCTCTTCTGTAAACTCCAAGGTTAAACACTGCAAGAATACACAAGCACAGGCCACAGTGAGGACATGGAACATAGCAAAGGGATCAATGTCAGTGCTTTCAGTGCAAACAGGTTTTCCACATTCCAGTGATGTAACAACCGGCTACAATACTACAACGGACAATGCCTGATCCGGTATAACCAGTTGATAGCACCTGATTATATGCATTTTTACTATTTGAAAAAGGTTCTCAGCCTGTAACTCCCAGCTCTACAACCAGAAAGGCTACATTTGAGGGGTTTTTTTAATGTATGTTTTATTTTTTTATTACTTGCTGCAAACACAGTCATGTGATTGTAACAGTGGGGGCGGGTCCCAGCTCAAAAGTGGACAAAATGACGTGCGCTGACATGCTTGCAATACCACCCCGGGACGATGGGGGTGGACCCAGAAGAAGAATTAGCCAATGCTAACATATAGCATTGGCAGACCTCTCAAAAACATCTTTACAGGATGGACCAAAAGTTGGCTCTTGGCCCAAAGCTCCGTTCCACATGTGTGTCAATGCTGAGGGGGGTGAACTTTTTTGGTCCACTCTAGTTTACTTGCTGTGAATTTTTGAAGTCTTCGTTCAAATGAATCGAGTTGCGCCGGCTGACGCATACGCAGATGCGTTTTTTCACAATTTTCTTGTGGGCGGGACCACTCGCGGCCATTATGGATAGCTCCTGTTAGTATTAGATAGCAATATGGCCTACGTGCAGGACTGTACAAGGACTCTACAAGGACTCCATGTTATGACTATGATTTGACTGTCTCTTTGTGACACGTATGTCTTTCGATGTGTGACGTGACAATGACTATATAAACTGTGTACTGCCTTTATTCTGTCTGAGAGAAAGAAACAGAGTAAACCAGTGGAACTTGAGAGAAACTTAAATAAACTTCCAGAGTTTGGCACACCACGATCCGTCTCTGTCTGCTAAATCCTAACAGATTTGGTGGAGAATGCGCGGCTCGGTTTGTGCCATTCTCTGGATTGTTTTGGGGGAGTTTGCTCTGTTTCTTTTCCTCTGCGTGAGAGATCGGCATGCTGCGTCTGGGAGCGGAGATTCCAGCAGGCTGGAAGAGCTGTTCCTGGATGCTTCTTGTCGCTTCTGTCACTTTTGTTTTTTAAATTGAATATTCCGACGCGGAAAAGAGGTTGGCAGACCTCTCGGACAGTCCTTGGAACCGGTTTGACAAGAATAAGGTAAGCAGACACCTTTTTATATGTAAAGTCTGCATAATTGGATATTAGCTAAATTTTGGTCTGTTTTTGGGGTCTGTCAAACTCTCTAAATTGTATTTGAGAAGAAGTCTCGGGGTTAGAGTCCCTTTGAGAAGAAGCTTCAGGGTTCGAGTCCCTTTGAGAAAACGTTTTCGGGGTTAAAGTCCCTTTGAGAAAAGCCTCGGGGTTAAAGTCCCTTTGAGAAAAGCCTCGGGGTTAAAGTCCCTTTGAGAAGAAGCTTCAGGGTTAAAGTCCCTTTGAGAGAAACCATGGTGTTTTGTTACAAAAGCTTTGAAATTGACGAATTTCAGGCTGATAAATGACAAAAGTAAAGAAGCAACAATATTTCAGTGATCACGGTTTAAATTACATACAGAAAAAGGGAGTTTTTCTGTTTTTTAGTTCGTTTGTTTTTGGAGTGAACAGAGTTCACCGGAGAATGCAGAGTTTTATCTAAAGTTGAGCTATGAGAGCTTTCGTGAGTTATTTACATTTTTTGCCGAGTTTTATCTACAGTTAAGCTATGAGAGGGTTGTATCCAACAGTTGTTTTTGTTTTTTAGAAAGAGATTTTGAGTTTAAATTAGTTTGCTACCTCAATAAAATAGAAGCGTAAACGTTAAAGACAAGAGTGCCTTTTGTTACTAGTGTGGAAAGTGATCACTTCTAGACTTGGATGACAAAAGTATAAAGAACAACATCAGTTATATTTGCTTAACAAAGTAATCTTGAAAGTTATTCTTCTGTATCTTTTTGCCTGTGTGTGCACATCTCTATCTGCTGCCGTTGTCAGGGAAACGGCCCCCACCTTCGCTTCTCTGGCTCTGAATCAAAGCTACTTCTTTAGGATTTTTGGCTTTTCATAGTAGTTATTCCGTTAAATTTGCGAAATTTGCCATTTGAACATTGTGTTAGACACAGTTAAACGTTTTTAAACACCATTAGTGAATAAGTTTTGAATATTACATGTTTTTTTTTTTTTTTGAAACCCAAAGATTAGTACAAAAAGCTTTGCTTTTCTTTTTAAATCTGCTGCTTATTTCTTAACTGTTTGTGAGTTGTGTTTGTTTTTATGTTTTTATTTTAGTTACAAAAGCCATTTTTCAAACATTTAAATTAGAATCTGAGTTAAAAGTGATTAATGATTGTAGACTTCGTCTAAAAAGAAAGAGGGAATTAGGAATTAGCTGTAAAAGTAGTATTATTAAGTTAAACTACCCAATTCACATGCAAGTGGCGACTTTTTGTTTTTGTTTTGACTACACGCCTGACCTTACTGTTGCTGATGCCACAGCAGAGGAGCCTGGTCTAAAATGTGCTCCAATTCATACTGACTTCATTTGAAAAATGCTGCAATTATTTTAAATTAGTAAAATATATGCTGAGATAAATGCATAGATAATTAAACACAGTACAAAAGTACATAATACATATTTTAAAGTTTGAAGGTTTAAGAGATTTGAGTCTTGTTTTTTATATTAAGAGTTTCTGGTGTTAAAAATGTCATCATTAGTAGGATAATAAGTAATCTTTTATTTACATAGCGCATGTGGGAAAACCCAGAGCGCTCCAAAATTGTTTTGACTTTAGGGAGAAAAACAATCTCATTCGCATACTGATATCTATTGTTTTTTTAAATTGGCCGTCTCAAGGATTGTTTTTCAGACTCTGCCACACTGTACAGGGTCACTGCTGGACTGGACACTGAGGGATCAGAACAGTGGCCCAGAGTAGACACCATCCAACCAGCCGCAGATCGTAAAGGCGCCATAGCTACCTCCGTGTGCCCCTCCCCCACTACAGACCGATGGTCGTAAGTGGCAGTGAGACCGGGGCCACAAAGTGAGGTTTTCTGTAGGCAGTGGTGGGTGAGTTGTTTTGCAATCTGGAAGTGTGCCCACTTTGCTTGTTTACATCACCACAGTGTGACCTTTGACACCTACAGGTGGTTCGAGGAGTCTGGAGACACAACCCCAAAATTTACATACACACACACACACACATACACACATTCATACACTCACACATTCACATTTACATATAGATACATGAAAAAGCAGAACATGAGAAAAAAGCATTTTAAAAGTTTACTCCAATGTAAACCAATATTTGTCTATCACTTGAATCTTTACTTGAATCAGTATTTTTTGAGACCAGAAATGTTCATTTGAATTCTATATTGTCATGGACATAATTGACCTCTGTCTTGACACTTTTGATTTGTTGATTTTGTACTGTGTGAAGTAATTACATTGATTAGAATTAGATCTGATAAAAACACAAATTAGAGAAGTAAACTGAATCATTGCGCTTGCTTTTGTCTGAGGGACAGAAGCAACAGCATGAATAGAAATTGATTAGGATTAGAATCAAAGTGACTTAACCATAGAGAGTAACTATTGCATAACAAGCTGTGTACAGGAACTGAGACACTGCACCATTGACCAGAAGTGCATCGCAAATGACCTGATGTGCTTCAACTGAAAAGACTGTATCTGGAGATCCTGATGTGCATCTGGACCAAAACCATGGCTTGGACCCTACTGATGTCCAAGATGACATCTCTCTATGACCTGACCTGATGACGACTGAGACTCACCCTCAGGGGACCCTGAGGACCCTGAGGACCTGAGGACCTGAGAGAGAAAACTGGGGAGTGATGTTTATATTTTTGAAATCATACATTGATGAGTGCTAAATGAGAGAGATACTCATGATTCTTTCTTTTGTTTTGTTTGTCCCTAGCTTCTGGACATCTGATGATCTATTGGACACAGACATTTGCAGAACAAGAACCAGCCAATGAAAACGTCTATTGCTGATGCTATTGCTACAACCACAACTGTGACCAAATGCAATATACATGTTAAGTATTCAGACATCTGACAGACAAAAACTTTGACTTTTTTAGTCTGGGAGACTGAGCAACTGTTACAATGTTTTAAAATGATAAAGTATGATTATTGTAGCGTTTTAGTAGATGTTAAATAGTAGTAAAAAAGTAGAATTTGATTTCTTTGTTTTTCATAAACACATTTCCACATAAGAGTTAAAATAGTACCCTACAATGTTATCCTTTTGATAGATCAGCTATAATATTAGAGATATTAAAAGTGACAGAAGTCACAAATTAGGAATATGCCTTTGCTCAAACTGCAGCCAAACTTTGGAGTCACAATAGTGTAAAAATAGAATTAGATAAATGCATCAACCATAGATTCTTTCAAAAATAGAGAATATTTCCAGCCAGTGCTAATATCAAATGGTAAAGGGACCATTTCACAAACATTTACTTCAGAAGTAGATAAAGTTACTTACAGTTTTATGTACAGTTTTATTAGATACTTGCCAAATTCACTTGTGTTCACACATGAGTGAATGTTGACAATGCAAAAGTCCATATGAGTGTAGTCTAGATTAATGCCTAGATTAATGAGATAGATTACAACCAACAGAGATTCGAAAGCATTTAAAAGCATTTTGATGTATTTGGGTATAGCCCACTGTCGATTCATCAGAACAGATTAGAGAATCAAACACCATTGTAGAATTACTGACCCCAACCCCAAACCTGCTCAAATAGATTAGCTCTTGTAAGGATAATACTAATTTGATTAATGATGTTCATTCATCCCAAACTGCCTGACAATAATATCTTGAGATAATAAAAAGTAATAAATCACTGACCACTATAGAAGTGTAAATGTTGACCATTTGCCTTACTGTGTTCACAGTTTTATTCCTGAGAATGTAGAAGAGAGATAGAGCAAAATCCCACT